CCGTTCCTTTTGCACTCACTGCCGGCGGCGGTTCGTCTGTGCAACGGGATAGCTCTGATTGCTCAGGATAGAAGACACATATAGCACTTAGCTATGGGCATTGACTTGAGCCAAACGTTGCGTTGGCGGTCACATAGAAAGGTAAAGATGAGGGATGCGTAGCATGCCCCCTAGAGTCGAGGGACGCGTAGCGTGCCCCCTTCTCTTGCACTTTACATGGTCTTGCTCACAGCTCTTATAGTGACACCTTAGAACTTGACAAGGCATCGCAGTCCGTTCGCATAGAGATTCGGCTTAGCAATACGGACACGGTGTGCCCGGCACACCCAGCGACGATTGCTCCACCCCCACTGCACATGATAGTGACGCAATGATGTACCACCACGACGGCAGCTGCCGATGGCAGATTCGTGGTGGTGATGCTGAGGTCTGCCGGCCTGTTCCTGAAGCTATAAAGCGATGCATCCCCAAGCCAGAGCTAAAACCAAGCAAGGCTCAAACAGAGTCCTTCAAACGACATGGAACTTGTCTCCACCTGCAACCTGCGCTGCCCCTGGAGTTTGGACAAAAAGGACAAGTACAGTAGGTTGTACCAAGCTTACTGAACAACACTGACTCGGTTTCTACCACTGTGGCAGGCTCAAGCAAGGAGCCGTGCGTCATCAGGGTTTCCATAGCTTCGTGATAAAGGAGTGCCTCGAGATTCCCAGTCCATTCGCGGCAAAGCTCTAGCCTTGGACGCGCTTCACGAAGGAGGGCACTGATCGTTTGATGAATGATGCGGTGTCGTGAGTTCTGGGATGGATTCTGTGTGGCCTGCTGTTGCGCGAGTCCGCAAGCCAGAGCTTCAAGCGACGACTTCTCCTGATGACTATCCATGCAGCTTGATTCCTGTCAGGATGGCCAAGTGTCGTCGCCTGGGCTTCTTGGGAAACCTTTAGCTGCTTCTGTCCAGCTTCGGCCAAACCTCAAGAGGGCGGTAGCCGGTAGCTCCAAAGAGCATCAAAAGGCAGCAGTTCCGGGCCATGAGCTTTGCTGCAGTTCTGTATGCGCCTGGCATCACAATGGCAACACCATCTGGCCACTCGCTATGAATGCAAAAGCTTTGGCAGACGCACTGCAAGAAGCGATTTTGGAACGCCGAGTCGGGCCACGGCCTAGCCTGGTAGCCACGATCAAAGTTGCTCAAGGCTACAATTAAACACTTCAGACCATGCTCTTGCAGCTGAAAGCACCACTAAAGGCAGCCTCAGAGCAGTCAGAGCCGACATCTCTCATCCGCCACTTTGCGGAAGTCGGCCTGGGAAGATGGTGGTACGAGCAGGTTTGTTGCAGACCACCGGAGGAGATTGTTGCGTCGGGCGCAACTGAGCGCTTCGATGGAAATGCTGCGACAGCCCTGGGAATGTGGGGAGAATGCACCCGAGATCCACATCCCGGAACCCCCATACCACCATGTACAATGTAGACGCTCGACTTGACATGGCAACATCATAGGAGCAAACTGTCGCATGCACGTATGGTGTCCCGGCCATTCTCCATGTAGAGACTCGATTTCACAGGCATGCCCGCGAGACACACGCCAGGTCCATCAGTGGCATCACAGCACATCAACACCATCCAATCCCCATGTAGACGCTCGATTTGACAAGCGCGAGCGCAAGACGCGTATCAGTAGCATCACAGCACGTGCAAACCTGCCATTCCCCATGTAGGGCTCGATTTCACAGGCACGCGCGAGAGACATACATCACTGGCATCACATGACAGTACATCCACACTCATTATTCCCATCCGTTCCGAATGTAGACGCTCGATTTCACCAGCAAGCGTGCAAGACACTATAGGATACTATAGGGCAAAGGCTCGCCCATCGTTTTCGTTATGACGTCGTGTTAACTTGCATCCTGACAATTGAGCTGGCGCGAAGTGGAAACTACCAGCAGCGTCCACGCTGAGGCTTCAAATTTCGAATCGGGACCAAGATGCAATCTGAAGAGGACTTGAAAGGTTGGGTGCTGATCGACGTCACTGCGACGACGACAACAGAACAACAACCGCCCATGTAGAAAGCCGGCAAAACAACCAAGAAACCAGCTCCACCCAGGGAACATCAGATGCGCACTGCGAACTGCATTTCCCCAATGTGGCAGGTCCACGTCAGCAAGACCGACTCCACTAGAAAGTCACATTGCGAACAACCAGCAATTCCTCAATGCTCTGGAAACACATCCCGGCCGCGGACGCGGCGCGCGTCGCAGACACGGCGCACGCCACCTGTGTGCCACCATCATGCCGCACCCCTTCCACCGGCTGTGGACACGGCGCGTCCCACCTGCATGCCACACAGTTTATCGGCCGCCGGCACGGCACGCCCCACATGCCGAATGTAGCGAGAGCCCCAAATAGCCAAACGATATGTGGGGCAAAAAAAAACACCAGCCTGGGCATTTGCTACTGATGTTGGCAAGCGCTCCTGCTCGGGTCCAGGAGCACTTGTCACTTGTTGGATCCGATCCAACATGCACATATCTTAATTCAGTCTCCCCTTCCCAACGACCTCCAAAAATGGACCAAATTTAATTGATTCTTTTGCATTTTTTCTCGGGTCTAGGAGCGTCTTTTGGATGCGGTCTATGCGCCTGCTGACGTTGGCTAGCTTTCAAGGCCGTTAATGAGCCTCCCAAAGCTCTGCACAAATCAACTAAGTTTAACTGGGTTTTCTTTATCCAGTTTCTCGGGTTCAGAATCGCAAGCATGTTTGGCTCCGGTCTATGCGCTTAATGTTGGCTTTCAAGCCCGGCATCAGCCTTCCAAGGGACTCCAAAAAAACTTAAATTGATTTGTCTTTGGCATTTGTCTCGGGCCGGTCTGTGCATTTGTCATTGATGTTGGTTAGCTTGCAAGGCCAAAAATCGGCCAAAGCTCCTCTAAAATGTCAACTACATTTGGTTGACTTGGCACGCCCCGCCTGCATGCCACCTAAATGCCGACTGCATGCCACTGCACCCACCGCGCCGACATTGGGCCACCCACATGCCACATGCACGTGCCGTCTGTGGACACGGTACGTGCGCCCCACGTGCATCCCACCTGCCCTGCACTGGCTGTGGACGCGGCATGCCCACCTGCATGCCACCTATATGCCGACTGCATGCTGCTGCACCCACCGCGCCGGCTCTGTGCCACCCGCATGCCCCTGCGCCGGCTGGGGAACAAGCCATCAGTGGCATCGCAGCAAACATCAGCTCCGTTTTGCAAGCACCCGCTCGAGAAACACATCAGTGGCATCTCGGCAAAACAGCAAATCACAACCAGCCATTCCCCATGCAGAAGCTCCAACTCGAGACACGAATGGCATCGCAACATATTAAAACCAGCTCTTCCCCGTCTAGATGCTCAATTCCACAAGCCCTCCTTTCGAAACACCAATTCGTGGCATCACAACACATCAAAACCAGCCATTCCCCATATAGCCGCTCGATTCCACAACCAGACGCTCGACACACCCGACAACGACCAGAACATCACAGCACAGTGAACCAGATACTCCTTAGGTAGATGCTCGATTCCACAAGCACCCACTCGAGACACCAGTGGCATCACGGCACATCACAACCTGTAAATGCTCGCACCCGCTCGAGACAGAACTGGCATCACGACACACCAAAAGCAGCCGTTCCTGATGTAGACCCTCAATTTCACAAGCACCCCCGCCAAACAGACATCAGTGGCATCAAAAACCAGCCATTCCCCATCCATGTAGGCGCTTGTTTCCAGAAGTACCGGTTCGAGGCACAGATGCGCGCATCACAACACATCAAAAACAGCTATTCCGCATGTAGACGCTCGGCCCCACAAGCAACCAATCGAGACACGCATAAGTCATCATCAGTAACATCACAGCACATTAGAATCAGACACTTCCCCATGTAGACGCTCGATTCCACAGGAGCAGTGGCATCACAACACATCAAAAGCAGCCTGTCCCCATGTAGACGCTCGATTCCACTTGGAACATTCGGATCGTTCACACGTTGCGGTGCCCGAGTGTGGACGCTCATCGATTCGTGTTTCAACCCAGCGATGCCGGATAACGCGACCACTAGTAGCAGTCATAGACAGAAAATGCGAAACCCCAGCGTGACGCTGCATAAACCAGCCTGCAAGATGCTACTGGTATCACAGTAGCGGATTGACATCTCATTTCCGCCTTGTGACGGGGGATTTCTCCGACTTTCGGCGGAACGACTTAGGGCTGGCACGCAGTAGTAGGGCTGGGCTTAAGCTCTCTCATCACCTTGCTTTACTATGCGCAGAACACGAAGCATCGACACGCACTACCACACAGTCCCTTCCTGTGATCAGCACAAAATTGCTTTCAGTTCAAGTCGAAGGACCACAGCTTTGTTCATCTCCTGCTGGACCGTCTTCTTCTCCGAAGTGCTAGAACCTGATGCGACGACTCATGAACATACTGCTCCCTAGCCGGACTTCAAGCAGAGACATTTGTTATGCGTACGTGCACCGAATGTCGGCCCGAAATCAAGCCGCTCCGGCTGTTGTGGTCTGGTCGGGCATCTCGTGAAACCGGCACATCGGCCTTAGGTGAGCTCGCAAAACCTCTGCAGCACCCTGCTTGCTGGCTTGCGATAATCACGACAAAACCTTTCTCGAGCTGCCAAGCAACACATCTCTCACGAATCCTTGCAAATCAGCTTGAAGAGGCAAGAAGCTTAAAAGTGCAACAAATCAACTCGCGCGGGCTTGAGCTACTTCGTGACACCATTGACACGGGGATGGGCCTAATGCTACAGCTGCGCTACAATCGTCGGGAATGCGCGGTCCGAGCATACTCTACGCCTTACGTTGCTTACATCTCCACTGGGAGCGGAAACGTAGGCTTCTTAGATCTTCTTAGATTATTCGTAGTGAGACTTATATAGGTAACCGCAGCCTCCATCTTCCGTGTGCGGGGCAGGTGTGGGCAGTCAAGTGGCCAAGTCAAGAGCTGTCGAGTGGATCTGCAATCTTCGCAATTGTAGTCGCGAATCTGACCTTACATGGCATCTCAATGCATTTCCATGTTCCCAACACGGCACCTCGCAAACGTAGAAACCCATGATATGCCACGCGGCGCAGCGTTGTGGATGTAGCGCAAGTGTCACCGTCCGGTGCATCTAGCCAGTGCATGTACGCAATCATTGAGTCTTCAGCCGCAGCCACTGCATTTGTCCTCGTCGTCCTTACACCATCATTTTGCCAGATAACTTAACCTAGGCGGTGTCTTCTCATACGAGCCTTAGTATAGACCGAAACCAACTGAGCCTTCAAAGCTTCCGGTACATCTTCTCCACCTGCTTAAGGCCGTATCCAGGCAGCCCTAGCATTATTGAGCCCTTGACAATGGGATAAAGGTCGACCAAGATTGTCTCGATGAATGTGTTAACCAACTCCTCGTATTTCTGCGGAAGGCCGACAGCCAGGCGCGAGAACGCGCTTCTTTCGTAATGGCCATAACAGTATGCATGCATCCTCGGGAATTGATCTAAGCGGTTGAATATGAAATCGAGCATGGAGCACGTGTTTCGATGCTCCTCGTCGTGCGTCTGTGACCACCAACTCCTGTAGTTTCCCCGTCGGGTGTAAACTCCGATCAAGTAATGGGAGGCAGCTGGCGGCTTGTGCCATGGCAAGCTTTCCAAATCGAGGAAGACATCTCCAGGGTCATCCTCAGGCAACGACGCAAGAACGATTCCAGCACTCGGCAAAAGTTCGGAAGCAGGTATTGCCACCTCTGGATCGTTTCTGCCATCCATGTCCCTTGTTCGACATTGCAGAAGAGCCTGCAAGCGAAGCCGCTCCAGGGTTTGGGGCTTGATGCGGGTGTCGGCCGACACCTTGGACAAAGCTGTGGATGGCATGTTGGCAATACTGGTCATTGACCCGAAACCTGCCACTTTCAGTTTTGCTCGTTGAGATCGAGTTATGTTGGCAATGAGAGCAGGGTCGTCTCTATTCTGTAAAATGTCTGTTGCTGCGTGGGCCCAACGTGTTAGGTTGGCCTGTGGCTCTTCTGCTGGATCGGGTGGGGCACGGTTGGGATCGAAGGCTTTGTAGAACTCTTCAAAGGCCCTCCATGATTCGTGGAAAGATGCTCTCAATCCATCTGTGCTAACTTCACTGACTGCACCATGCTCCGCAGCATGTTCTCCCAGTACCAGTCCAACCTTCTGGACCTTGCTGTCTGAACCCAGCATCGACTCAAGCGCCGTAGCATACCCGATGAGCTGGGCCACATGGTATGCCGTTGGATGGGTAGCCAGCTTCGTATCCCATATAGTATAGTCCCCCTCCACCCCCCGAATCAGAAAATCGATTATCCCAAAGAAGCCCCGATCGGAGTCGTAAACAGGTGCTTGGTAGAGCACCCTGGTCTCCGCGGATTTTAACGCCTCCATTGTTTCGTTTGCGCATGCCTGATACCACGTCGTTCCGTGTCGCCCGGCATCAGCCTTCATCTTCGAGACAGCCCCACTGAGGTCAATGAGGCTCCAGTCCGAGTGTTCGCGGCTGAACCAGTTGAGGAGTTTTACCTCTACAAGCGAGCCGCGTGATGCTAACAACTTCTCCACTCCATTGCTGATTCTGGTACAACGGGAATCGTTTGGATACTCGCGAAGCAACTTGTCCATCCAAGACTGGAACGGAGATGCAATGAATCCTGCATAGGCTGTGGCAGACAGCACCGCAAATTTCCGGTTTCGCCTGGACAGGTCATCTTTCTCCTCATCGCAACGGCGTCCGGAGCTCCTCTTCGTTCTCATCGTTCTGTGCAGGCTGTGCGCAACTGCCGCTGAAGTTATCAGACCGCAACTGTGGCATTGTCGCTGCTGTTGCTGCCAGGTTCCGCGCTTGCTCTTTGTTGGAGCCAAACATGGGGATGGGATACTACAAGAAAGCTGCAAGTGCGGAGCTACATCCATGCTTACGAGCCGACCTGCGAAGCGAAGCAAGCCAAGCTGTCTACTTTGCGGAACGACCAGCACTCCACTTCAGCTTCTTGCGAAAAATGGGTCAAAACATGACAGATGCACCATGTTGTGCTGATCCAGCTCTCGCTTCAGAATGGCACACTCTGCCCCATGTTGCTCCTGTACAGCCACCTCTGACTGCACTATCTCTGCGCAGGCCATTTCATGCTCCTGTTCGGCAGCAAGCCTCTCTTGCTTGTTTGGAATATGGTATCTCTTCCTAATTCGCAGCTGCATGTCCAGCAACCGCCGGCTGTTCCTTTTGAGGGAAACTTCACGCTCCGCAACCTGTCTTTGCAAAGATTTCAGCTCGTCCTGCGCCTCCGTCATGTGTGCTTCGTGTGACGCTTTCAGAACATCAGCCTCGCATCTTACGGCAACTCGACACTCTCGAACCTGTCGCTCGCCGTGCAATGCTAAGCGCGCTTCCAGCTCGTCGACTTCCTGGTATAGAACTTTCATTACAGGGTCCTGCAATCTGGCCACTGCCAAAGCCACAGAGCCGGCACTGGCTGCGCTTCCTCCAAGGGCCGCTGCTTCCCAGGCCATTGCAGCCGCCTTCGACTCCGGCATCGCGTGGAAGCCGTGGCAAAAAGCACTGCGCTTCGACAAAGGCCACGCGCAGATTCGCCATGGCTCACGGTTATGTCGACTCGGCGGCTCTGCCAATGGTCCAACAAGTTCCGTCATCTGATTAAGCACGAATCACTATTGTATTGCTTTCTGTTCACGGTCATCTCAGAAAGAGAGGTTGGGAAGAGCTGCCTTTTCAGCCGAGTCTGCGAAGTGGCTCTTGCCAAGCTTGCAAATATGTTTCAAACCCTCCCTGCATGCATGGCATTTTCGAGCCCTTCGACTTTGCATCCACAGGCAAGATGGCTTCGGAGTCGATCGGGAGGACTACAGATGCTGGTTCACTTTGACAGAGCTTCATGTCTGCTGTGGTTCAACTTGGCGCCGTCATTGGACTGAGGGAGTGGGGCTTGCAGCTTGCGCTTGGGGTCTCTGAGTCGATCCCGTCGCGTACGTAGCTGATATTACATGAATATGTACCTCCTCCAACAAGTAAACCCTCACCTTTTAATATCAACACCTAATTCCCCGAGAGCATTTGGCACAGGTTCTACAGGGCCATGACTGCATCTGCAACTGGGGGCAGGGAGACTAAGACTCGGATCGTTCAAGGGTAGAGGGCTGGGAACCTATACCTAGTTACTTAACCTGTCTCGAAGCTCTCTCTCGGTCTCTTTGTCTGTTTGCTTTGCTGTGGGCTTAGGCCGCAAGCAGTCCTCGCGACCCGAGCATGTCCGCGCTGCTCCATCCATCATATTGAGGTCTCGCTGTCTCTCGCTCTCCTGCCTCTTGCTGCTTGCTTGCTTGCTCCGCATTTGAGGAAGAGAGGAAGAGGACAGGAGGGCCCCACTCTCTGTCTTTGCGCTGTGCTTTGCTCAAGGGCATGAGGAAGAGGCAGTCCCATACTTTACTATACTATATTATGCTACATTATGTTATCTGATATTACTTTACATTGTATGGTATTTTTGTGATATCATGTAATATAGTGTATTATTATGTATTTTGTGATGTTATAGACTTTATTGTATTATGCACTTTATGATATTATGTAACTTGATATATAATATATCACATTACGTGTTATTATTGTATTAAATAATTATATCATAGTATGTACTTTGGTTTTTTATATGTATAAAATATTAGTCATTAGAATATGCACTATTTGATATACTATAATTACTATACTATGTATTATACTGTGTGTTCCATTAAAAGGTGTATCATGTTTGATGTGTTTTAATACAATATGAAATGTATCGAATTTTATCATATTTTATCATATATATATATATTCTATATTACATAGTACATTATGTATTGGTATTCGGTAATATCTTCTGCACTCTATTATGTGTTATACTAAAAATCATGCTAAAATTGTATACTGGATAAAATCCTATATATATATATGCGCATTGTTTTATACTTCAAAATATTTGTTGCATATGTATGTTAAACTACACATTGTGGACTAGAGTAGACTATAGTATACTATACAATTTCATATTTTACCACATCTTGATATGTTGCAGTATGTCCTATTAGGTTAGATTAGATTATACGGTGTTTTTTTATGTTATATAACCAATGCATAGCAATCCTTCTTGGCAAGCAAGTTCGAAGAGCACACGGTTGTAAGATCTCGACGGCTCGGGCTTCCTGGTGTTGGGCATCGGGCGGGGGTGTCTTGAAGGGTGGAGCTTCAAGCCTCGCAATCTCACACCTTCTTCAAAAGGTTAAGCGTGCTTCGTGGATGAATTTCTAGTTACAAAAAGCTGGATGTGTTTTTATTTGTTTGTAGCGAGTTGTTTCTTGAGCAACCCATGTTCACGAAAATGGCTCCGATTGTGCAAACGTACATGTAAACTGTGCGCGCTCAACAAGCTGGATGTCCTGACCTGTGCAATCACTGAAGATACTCGTTGGTTGGGAAGCAACAGCGAGGACTACCATACACAGCGAAGATGCTAGTTGTCTGGTATGTTCACGATGTCACGAGCACGCTGGCAGGTACGTCAGGGTGATCAGCCATGATATCCGCATTTGCTGTGGCCGCTTCGTTGGACCATCGTGCACAGCAAACGGACCAGTCGCCCTGCCGCACCAAAACCAAAACACTAAGAAAAACTAACCAGCTCCGGCATTCTATCTGGATCGTCGGCTTCTTGTTTCTTGGTCTCAGGCTGGGGGTTTCAAGCCATACGAATACAAACCAACCAAGGCACACAAATGTCCCTGCAGTTCCGGCACCCTCTGTGGATCTCTGTGTGGTTGAAGCCAGCCGAAAACGTTGCTTGAATCCTGAACATACGAAAACGGCCGGAATCAACGATGGGAGCGGGGTTTGAAAGGAGGTGGCCCACACACATACAGATATGTGTAGATATTATACGTACAACCCTATACATACACACGATACACGGACATAATATGAAGAGGGAGAGCGGGAGAGAGCGAGAGAGAGAGAGAGAGACAGAGAGCGAAGGAGAGAGACACCCACCCACAGACAAATCAAGGGGTTGAATCGGGGATGAGGGGCTGGGTCAGCCAAGCGTTCATGGCGATGTTGCCTTGTTTATTGGCGTTTGATTTCAGCTATTGCTGTTGATACCCGTGCTCAGAGGCAAAGTCCGCCAGACAGAGGTCGTCAAACGCCTTGTGGGCGTGACAGGCAGTCGTCAGGTCGAGATCGATTGAGCAGGTGTCGAAGTCTGGGTGTCGGATAGGTCTCCAGCGTTTTGCTTTGCCATTCGCGGGCACACTGCGTCCCACCTCTACCCTCTGCTTGATTTCATTTTCCGTCTTGCTTTGTCTGCTGACCACCTGTGGCTCGGTTTGTTGACGGCCTGTGGTTCGCCTGGTCCCACCTGCGAAATCGCGGGCATGTACCTAAAGGAGTTGGTGGTCGGGGCGTGCCCAAATGTGTTATATGACTACTGGAACCGCATCAGATTGTCTTCTGGCTACTAAAGCGAGAGGAGTTGTTCGGCACAGTTCAGGCTTAAGTTTGGGGATTGGTTTGGGTTCCTACTCGCTGTCGACCCTTGATGCCGTACTGATCCGAACTGTGGCAGGTTTACAATGCTTGCCTAGGCACCAGGCTGTCCTGACCGTAGGCCGGCTTCAACAAACCTGCAAGAAAATGAAGGATGGTTTCTCAAATTGCATCCTTGCGAAGATAGTGCTGCTTCTCATCGATCCTGACCCGTTCGTGTTGAGTACACCACTGCCCATTGAATGATGTGGAACTACAATAGTTTAAACTTTTTGAACCTGACCTACTCGACTCGATGCGTTAACGATTCAGCCACCTGCACGGAACATGCACAAGGCGCTTTTTCACAGAGCTGCGCAGCTTTGTGTACTACCACAACGAAGTTTGGGCATGCAGGACCCATGTCCCGGTATCAGTTGCTGCGCATCAGTTCAGAGGGGTCCGCGCCCCTACACCCAAACAGATTTGTCAGTCCAGGCGCACATTGGGAGAAACGCTTCGCCGCGACGGCAGCATTGGCTCACATCAGCTTTCATCCGGTTGGGTGGCCCGGGCTACAACGCTGGTCTGACGCTCAATGGGGTTCGTGCGCTGCTTGGCTTAAGCTCATGTCTGTACCTTCACATCTACACACGGCTCAGGCATTCTCACTCTTTTCCAGCCCACATCACGGCAGCCTCGAGACAGTCTCAAAAACAGCACAGTCTGGAGCCATGCCAAGCTTTGTCACGCAGGCCTCGGAAACCAACGGCATGGCCATTTGACGCTTCATCAAAGCATTTAAACCTTGGCACCAGTTGGCAGCATAACAACAAAGGCTCTGCTCTCTGCTTTCGCCGGCTTAGCACATTCAACGCTTGGAGCCGCACAACACCAGAGAAGGAGGCACACGATGAAGAGAAAGATTGACACCATGCTGTGGTACCTGGACAGTGCTCCGGACAGCTGCTGTACTGAATTCCGCAGAGGCTGCTGCAGGGCACATGAAAGTCTGTACCCAAAGGCCAGACTCCCATGGATTTAGCACAGCAAAGAAAACCTGAGCCAGCTGATTGCCACTTCTGCTACGGATGCCAGCATGTTTGCAGAACATGAAAGGCTTCAGGGCCAAGGTCTTCAGTATGAAGGTGCTACGTCATAGCTGCTACAGTATTCTGCACTCGTTGCACGTTTTCCAGTTTCGGTGCATCACAGCGCCACAGCGCCTGCTGCGGGACTCCCAAGAGCATGGAGATCAAAATCGCCTCGAAGAGGCGACCGACACTTTAAGACTTTCACCAGATCGCCAATGTGGCCCCCTGTGCCCTGCCGGGCCCTGCCTGCGAGGAGTGGAAGCGCACATAGAATGGGGCCGCCTGCGCAATCAGAGAGCCGTGTAAACTCAGAGGTTGTGCCATCTTGTCGCCTTGTTTCTCACTGCTAGCTGAATGAAGAGGAACCATACGATGAGGAAGTAGTATCCTGACCTGCTCGAGAAAGCATCGTTTATGGACGCATCTTCGAGGCGCGGATGAACCGTCGTCTGAGACTTTGGTTTCGGCTGTGTCCAGCGCCGTGCTATCCGACGATCTGCAGTTGCGGATCACTGTCATTTGCGCTTTTGTTCACTCCAGGTAGCATTACTCTGGTGCGCCCGACTGGATATCTTGCGTAGCAAACCTGACAGCAAGAGCCACAACAGTGGCGGTGCCCACCCCCACCCCAACAACAACGGCACTTTTATGCAAGTTCTTCAGCGAGCTTCTTGTGGGCCCCTGGACCAGATTTGCAGCGTGCCGAAAATGGCACACGAGTCTGCAGTTGTTTACACCGTGTTCCTGTCATGGCTTAATCGCTACATCTCGCTGCCAACTTCCAAACAGCTTACTTTCAGGATGATGATATCTTTTTCAGGTACTGTTCGTCCGTCTTTTTGACGAGCGCAGTCCTGAATGTCTGGACACCAGAATGCATCTTACTCACAATGGAGGTGCCGATCACTACCTGCCCGCATTTAGTGGCTCACCCTGACCCATCCAACGACAGTTTCGGAGAACTCTTCTCGCCGTTTGCCGCTTCCGACGTAAGGTTCTGCAACCCGTACTGCTTGCGTTGTGGCACGGCTACGTTTTGTTTGCCCCGTCGTTTTCTTGTGGTGTGGTCTTCCACGTGCGTATTTCTGCCTGAGGATGCATGCAGTTCAAACGTCAAGAGTATTTCGTGCGGATTCATGCCCTTTCTTCCTGGTCATGCATCGACTTGTTGATTCTCCACTTACTGTCGTGCTCTCTACGGAACGTGAGCGGGAGATCGGAACTAGTTTACTGCTTCTTTTTCTTCACACAAATTAACGCCCGCAGCGATCTTTCGTCTGGGTTGCCACTTCAGTCCTGTGTTTTTGCGTGCCCTTCCTCGTCCAGGCCCGGGGACTAAACTCCGAAGCTCAAGCAAGAGACCAGCAGGCGGGGAGGGGGATGATCACATGCGCAACCATTGGAAGAAGGCCTAAACCAAACCACCGCAAGCTCATTCCACAGGGGGGGAGAACGGATGCCCAAACTCAAACGGAGGATGCCATGCACAAAAATATTTAGATCGGACCCTGTGTCAACAGCATCCATGCCAAGCTGCTTCAAGTAGGCATTGTATAGATAGCGCCTCGGCTAAGTGGCTTGAAAGGCGTTGCTGAAGCTTGCGCATGCCATCTTGACAACTGCGCCCTCAGTGTTTTGGATGCCCATGTAGGATTCGCACATTTTAAGGGTGTGCTGCATGAAGTTGACGATGGGCTCACAGGGTGGGACTCCCACAGCATACCTTGTGCAGCTAGCAGCGAGAACAGCCGCGTGGAATTACACTAAGGACGATCTCCTGCAACAGCCCTGGCAAAGCATCTCGGGGTAAGGCGGATAAAGAGAGATGGAGATCTCTCCGAAGTCCAAAGCCTGGTGACAGTACTTCCAGCATGAGGGCATGTGCTTCAGTTGGCTTGCGTCCCAAGGCGGTCACATTGAGAAACGGAAGCAGGTACCTGGTCCAAAACTTAGTTTTAGTTATTTCCTCCAAGCGAGAGCCACTATAAATGCTCGGATCGCACCCAACGCATGCACCAACACGCAGTAGCCATACTTTGTCCAGGAGACCTGCAGGCTCTCGCACTTCAAATCGCTGCGATCCGACGCACCTTTGGTCCCCTGGTGGCCTCCGAGAAGCCGCATTGGCAGCGGCGTCAGGCGCTTCCTCTCACGCACGCACAGGCACCGAGAGTTGGCGAGTCTTGAGCTTCTCCTCATCCTGTCTTTCTTTTTTTCGAGCGGTGTCGCATCGACCGGAGTGGACATCAGAAACAGGGCGTCCTCATTTGTCCGAAGCTCTGCCCCAACGTTTCTGATCTGCAATCTCGCGATCCACTCCGAGGGTGCCTCTCCCATCGCGGACATCTCTTTCACTTCCTGCTGCTGTTCCCACTCTTTCATCGACTTGATAAACTCCTGTGCAGGTAGTTGAGTGCAGCTACAGTACTGCCCAAATCGGATGAGGAGCTGCCTTGACCGCGAAAACTACGAAGATGCTCGAGATCAGAGCAATGACCCCCGACCTGCCAAAGGCACGCCACACGTGGTCAGAGAAGCGAAAGCTGCGGACAGCCAAACATCAAGCCCGTGACTGAATCCATGGCCGAATGGAGTTTTTATAAGTGTGGGCCACTGCCATGTCCTGCAGAACGATCCGGCAAACATTTTCGCGTTGAACCACGGGGCTGGATGAAAGTGCTACTTACAGTAGCTGCTCTGCTCCTGAAAGAGTTCGTCACGCAAAGCGAAGCTGTCGGTCGCCGACACCTATGGAACTGCCAGATGCGAGACTTCTCAGCTCACGGGACCTTCCTGTGGAGCAAACTTGCCTCCTCGAAAAGAACTGAATGCAGCTGACCACAACTGGCTTCCGAGCAGTAGGCAGCCCGGATCCGAGGTCTTGGCCCATGCATGCGCCTGGCTCGCAAGGCGGGCAATTGGCCCTTGCAGTGTGAATTTCGCAGCGTCCACTAAGTCGGCCGGATCGATAATAGGATAGGAAATGCCTCACATTGCGCTGGGGATGCTGTGGGATGGAGATAGGTACGGCGTACCGGACCGGACGCTAGTCGAATCTGTTTTTGTATGTTGCTACCATACTTCCTGCTTCAAACTCACGTCACAAAACCCTCTCTGCGATACTGTTAGTAGCAGCGTGAAAGAACACAGCACGGACACAGCAACCATGTCTTGATCTGATCTGCTGCTCTCAATGTCAAGCTAAACCTTGAAGCATGTCTCTTCCACAATCTGATAAGCACATACAGTAAAAATGTGGCGATAACCTTTCTGTCTGAGGATAGTGCAACTGCATCAGCAAACCCTTGCCAGGAATACAGCCGCACGCACAGTTCCATAGAGGGCAGCAGCGAAAGCAATCTCTGCGAAAGGAGACCTCAGAATCTTGCGGCAGCGTCAACGTACAATGTACAATTCCGCATGTAATATGTGTCAAACTTGGAGCCCAGCTGTGCACGCTGAACCGGCTGCCTGCACCGGTGTCCCAAGACTCGACGCACGCCAAGAATTGCTGCCTTGGGGGAGCGCAAGAATCGGATCTGAGCACGTTCCGTGAAGTTGGAGGAATCCAGGGATGGCAAGAGGCTGTGGTGTCTTGCTTTTGTTGCCTTTAGAACTTTAGGCCAAGGCTGCACCCAAGGCAGAGCCCTTGATCGAAAATGCACCTCGAGACGCTCGTATTAGAGAGTTCTGGAAAAAGGATTTAGGTCACGCATGGCGGCCTGAAGCAGGCTCTGAACCCACCTGAGGCACTGTGCAGTAGTGACAGTGGCAATGCGAGGCACAGAACATGAAGCCTCTCGATGAGTGGTCTTGGACCCGTCCTGCACGTTCCTTCGAGCCAGGCCGCCAGGCTTCCGAAATCAAGACCAAGAGACCAAGAACTGCCACTGCCTACAGGCACTGCATCTGCTCGTGGGCACTGTGGAGGCGCTTGCAAGCGGCCTCCAAAGCGAGTTGTATGAAAAACGAACTGCAGTTGCACAGTAGCTTTCGCGATGCGACCTGTCATCAAACATGCCCGGCCGGCCTGGCTCGCAAATGTCTCGGAGCCTTCCAGGTTCTACATTTCACGCCCAAATGCAACACCATGTCGATGTACTTTCGACGTGGCAAACTTGCTCTCCCCTCAAGCGAAGCCTTGGTGGTGGTTTTGTGGTTTCTGTGGGCCGGGGCTCAGCGAGACGTATGACAGCAAAGTGTTGAAGAACCAGGTTGTGGAAACGACGGCCTGGTGGACCTCCCAGTAACTCCAAGGACGGTAGACACCACACGGTGGCAGTTTGCATCTGAGCTTCGGCCACGAGTCTTTCGACCAGCCAACTGACCATGTTTCTCCCTACAGCAATGGACATCTGCGGAGAACCCTCCACAGCAGAAGTGTTGACGGTCCGAGCATAGACAGAAAACATCACAGTCGCGCGACCGAAAGCAGCATCTGAAAGGACAGTGATGATTTCATGCATCGCTCCGCCCGGCTCATCCGGTGGATTCTGGTGATTCGGGTGAAAAAGATGGAGATCATAGCTATTTGAGGTGCGGTCGGCGAACAGTAGAAGACCTGTGCCGAGTCTTCCTCTTCTCGGATCTCTCCCCCAACTTCACTATACCCTCACACGACTCCTCTTCTGTGCTACAACTCCGCCACCGCCCCTCCTCGTTGACCCGAAAGTTGCTTGAATCCAACTTGCGGCTGGGGCCGCGTGAACGACGCAGTACCATCTCGCAGCAACGTGAACGCAAGATCTGTCCGTCACGATTGGAAGGGCGTTCAGATTGTCTTCGGAAAACTCAGCGGTCAAGCCGGAAAAAAGCGGCAGCGCCTCAACAGCTGGACCGGTGGCCACGAAAGCCCATCTACCTGAATCGTCTGGCAATACTTCTGCGTTTACACATCATGCGATGTTAAAGTGATATAAGATCCGTGCCGGTTGGTGTCAACACTGCACAGGCACCAGCCACGAGGGCTGGTCTCCTCAATGAGAACAGCAACACGGCCTACAAAGTCTGAACCTGACAGAATATGCCTCCATCACTGGACAAGCAGCTTTAGATCAAGCGCTGCAGGCTTTTGTTCACTCGGCGTGGCAATGCACGCTCTGCTTTCCATGCCGCAAGGTGTCCACGTGATGTTGAGCACATGCTGCTGACGGCTTCATCCCCTTTGTTGCAGAGCATTGAGCTTACGAACCGACTCGCGAAACAGCTCGTCGTCCCGCGCATGTCTCCGGCCGGCATTCTTCTCTGAAAGCCTTCTGCGCTCATCCTCCAGAGCATGTCCAGAATCGACAGACGCCTGCATGATCTGGCGTTTTTGCAAGCTTGATTTGCCTGAAAGGTGAGCATCAGGAGGAGATGCACTTGAAGGCATGGACGATGGTGATGCCATGCTTTCTTCGTGCAGTATACCATGCGGATCATGTTGCCGGGAACCTGCTCCCCGATCACCGTCCTGCTGACCTTGCTGCGCCTTTGTCCAACCGATGGGCACCACATTCGGAACGACACTCGCGTTGACTTCCACTGCAGCAGCGGGGTCAGCGGGGTCCTGCAGGGCAGTCGAGGAGGGCGGGGGGTAACGCTTGGACATTCGCGTTTTCGACTGGGGGCCGAGCGGACTGAACAAGTTGAGCGCTGGCCTCGGTTTAGCTCGGAGGGGCCAGCGCGTGCGCGCGCCTGCGACTCATTCGCATCATGCCCAAGACGCATCAATGGCCGGAGCAATCTGGCCAGAGCCTGGCAGCAAAGAGACAGCCCGCTCGGCTGCAGCTAGTTCTGCAGCAGCTCGATCCAATTCCTGAGGAGCGGATGAGCCATCGTAGCAAAGGTTTGTTCAGGTTACCCAAAACACAAGCTCGGCTTCGGAAACTTCGAGAACCGTTGAAACGTCACTGGGCAAGCGTGCTGACGGAGAGTTGAGCTATTTTGGGCGGTTGATTCTGCCGAATGCCGCAGCTACACGCAGGCATCACAGGCTGACTTGCACAACAACAACATCAATGAGATCTGACATGGCTTCAACTGCATAGGTAAATATACAATCACACATGCAAAGGGCCGGCAGTCATTCATTTTCAAGAAGACCAAGCCATGCTTCGGCCCAGGTGCATCCATACCCTCAGCTTGTTTCTCCTGTCATAATCTCTCGCATGTCCAACTTGTGGATTGGCGCAGCAACGTGCAGGAAACCGTGAGGGTGTCCTGACTCTCTTCGACTTTGGGTGCCTGCTGCGGCATCTGTGGCTTTGCTTCTCCCTAGACAGCTTCTGACTAAGCAATGCAAGAATTGCAATCAACTTGAGCAGCTCTGATGCCTGATCTGATGGCTTCTCATCTGGCAGCCCAACGATGTCCTGGCAGAGACATCAACCGCATGATAGTCAATTCTCCTGTAATTTGTAGCAAAAGCCAGTCCTTGATAGCACTGCTGACCGTCTCCACATCGAGATCCTTCTGTTCACAGCGCAAGTAGCAAATCATACGTTTCTCAGCGCCAAGCAATTGTCAAGCTCCATGTCCAGAGCAGTTTCGTTTGGCTGGAGAGCTTCGCGAGGGGCACCACCACTGATTTCTTTCTCTGCCGGCTGGTGCGACTCGCTGCTGTCCTCGAGATGATCACAAAAACGAGACGGAGGAACCGCACAAACTCTCGTTCAGTATGACGAAGACGAAGCGTCTGCCGGCACTGCGACGATGAGGTCGTCAGTTGGCTTGACGACATCCGGCACCACAACAGATGTCTCCAAATGATGCAAGGCAACAATAGGAACTGGCGGCACAGCAACTACCTCACCGGGCATGCTGATATTGGCAGCAGGTGGTGACCAGTCCTTGGATGCAAAACGATCCGAACAATTGGCAGCTTGGAACGGCAAAAGAACCGATTTCCATTGTGCGACCAGAGCACCCAGGATTGGTACTGCCAGCCCTGAGTTTCAATCAAGTCACGGACAATGCTTCTCGAAGTCTTTGCGTCTCTCGACCGATCTGGGCTATGGACTTTTGAGGCAGCGCACTGGTCCAGAATGTTGTCCACTTCCGATGTATTGCTGGAAGCTCCTCCACAAGCCAGTAGTGCAAAGCGAAGCTACGTGTGATGCTGAGAACTGTTCCAGCTCCATATGGGTACACACTGTAAACGAAACAAACATCCAAGCTGTTGCCACTCAACTAGCAGTAGCAGTAGCAGCAGTAGTTGTAGAAGTCGTAGTGTCGTAGGATGTCGTAGTAGGTCGTAGGAGGTCGAAGTAGACGAAGCAGAAGTAGAAGTAGTAGAAGTAGTAGCAGTAGCAGTAGTAGTAGTAGTAGTAGTAGTAGTAGTAGTAGTAGTAGTAGTAGTAGTAGCAGTAGCAGCAGCAGCAGTAGCAGTAGCAGTAGCAGTAGCAGTAGCAGTAGCAGTAGCAGTAGCAGTACCAGTAGCAGTAGCAGTAGCAGTAGCAGTAGGAGTAGGAGTAGGAGTAGGAGTAGGAGTAGGAGTAGGAGTAGTAGTAGTAGTAGTAGTAGTAGTAGTAGTAGTAGTAGTAGTAGTACTCGTAGTAGTAGTCGTGTAGCAGCAGCTTAGCAGCAGCAGGGGGAGTAGTATGGGGTCATCCGATCCCCAAATCCACACCCACCTCTTCCACACGACTCTACAAGTTGCCTCCCTATAGTGGTACACGAAACAGAGATGCCGAAAACGCTGGAAATACCGGTACAATAGTGACTTTCGTCATGTGCATGCACGCCGTGCTGCTGAGAGTCCCCGTTTTGAAAGGTGCTTAAATCTGGTGCCGAATCTCGGCCCCAGATGAAAAAAGTGTATGTGTTAGAGAAGCTGAGCATGACGAAGGGCATGCCAAATTTGTCTATGCGATACTCAAAAGCCTCGTGTTGTTTGTGTCTTACCGTGTGTGTTATACAACATTCCCATTACGACAAACATGCTACACATTCTCTCTCACGAATGTGTGTGGAACCGTGCGCCATGTCTTTGCCGCTGCGCGTGAAACGTCCGATCGTGCCTAATGGTGCCTAGTGGCTCCACTCGTCAACACCAAGATTCATTCAAGCAGCTTTTTGGAAATATTGGTTCTTGGTTCGTAGGCCGCGTGATAAACAACACGGCCCCTGCGAACTAACAAGGGCTGAAACCGGCCAGCTTTGAATGGAATAGATGGTGGTATTTTTGACACGATTTTGGCTCCCACTTCATCCCACCTCATAAGACATGGACAGTGTTAATTGACACAAGCCCGATCTTGACACAAATATTTTTCGGCTTCTGGTTGGGTTTTGCTGGAGAGGAGGGGTTACCATTATGCGGTGCCGTCGCCGTGTCGGTGAACCTCCCTCCCGCCTCCCTGGTATGCACCGCACCTTTTTTCACACGTGATTTAACATGCCGGGATTGCCTTCCATACTCCCGGCGGTGATCGCATCCATGTAATCCATGAAACCGATCTGCATCCGCAAAAAATGTGAGTCATGTGAGGCGGACAAGAACGAAAGCGTTGTGTGAAATGGGAATTCAGGTGGAAAAGCTGCACCTTGCACTCGTAATCAACAATCGGACCGCCCAGCTTGAAAGGCTGCCACTCCTGAATGTTCTTAAACCGCATGCTGACTATGAGCGCGACTACTTGTCTTCTCCGCAATTTCAGGCAAGAGCAAGGGGGCAAGGACAAGGCGGTCTTCTGGTGCGAGTTCCATATCTGGCTTGGAAGTAGTTCACTGGCATACTCTCAGGTTCCACTGTTGCGGGAAGAGGCTCGCATCCATCCACGACATTTCTCGAGCAACAACACTTTCCGAGTCGTTCATGAAACGATGCCACCGTCAATCGGCGCCACCTGCAAGGAAGGAAAGTGGAAAGAGCAGAGAGGGAGGTTTCACGTTCACGTTCCGAAGAACTACAGGTACTGGTAGTAGAAGAGACAAACTTCGCTGCTGCGATGGCCTGGTCGCAACCGAATCAGCCAAGCCAGCAAGGCCTCGGGTCGCAACCACACGACAAGAACGTAGGAGTCGCACGAGGTAAAGAGTGTATCTCCATCCTCCGCTTAGGCCTGCGAACGACTGCAAACGAGTTGCTGTGGGATACAGCTTCACGTGCTGTTAAGTATCGTTGCTTTGTGTCTCGGACGAAATCCTGGCCGCACACAAGCCAAAGTCTGACATACTGGCGGTCCAAGCGAAATCAAGCGGAGAGGCCAATTCGCACCGCCGACTGGCAGCAAGTTTCTCGACTCCAAGGAGTCCAATGGAACGTGATGAGTGTGATGTCTGGCTCTTGCACCAAACAAGCAAAGGAACAAACACCGGCTATTCTGCTACTACTGATAATCTCTTCATATCTCTTCACCATGCGATCGAATTTCCCCCGACCAGGCTGCGAGGATCAGTAAGGCCTCAGAGGAGTGCCTGTCAAATGTTGCGTTTCGATCTTAGCAGCCCCGGTTCCGGTCTAATGCAATGGGCTTACACATCTCAGCTTAAGCGTCAGACCCTTTTAAGCCGGCAAGAAGGGCGAATGTGATAAAGCCTGAACAAGTACGCGATGGAGGCTGAGCCCACCAGAAAGCGTCACTTCCCGCTGCTCAAGATGAGGAATAGCCGTACAACTTGTTGTTGAATGTTGTGAGGTCCCAGAAGTGAAAGCTGCTGGATTCACGCGCACTTTGGAATCACCCGGCCGACATGTAGCTTCCCTGCTCTTACTTCGCGCACTCGAGCAAGTGCTTTATGTGCAACGTCCCAATGCGACACTGCAAAGCTTATTCTGCACTCGAGCTCAAGGCCTCCACAAAGCAGGGTACAGTACATTCGGAATCTTCACACGCACGCTACAACTGACACTCCAATAGATCCGGACATGACGAGATAAAGCTGACCAGCAACAACCGGATGAGTGTCACAAGCGCCAGAAAATTGAGGACTCGTCGCTTGTGCTATCCTCCGTGTCATCATCCAGCTGCAAAGCCAGCACTGAAGTGACGTGCGACACATCATTCACATACGTTCAGATGCATGCATGAAACGTCTTCTTTCTGGCTTCCGGGCTTTTGAGGTGACGATATGTGACGATTCAGGTGCCAAATGGCGGCCTCGGCTCTTACATTTACTATCATTTACTCATGTGGAAGCCGCCTCCATTTCGAGATTCCAACAGCCCCAGCAGTGCATACGGCTTTGGCTCGTAGGACGGTTTGCTTACGCTATGCTCACGATTTTTCGTTGATGGTACCCCTAATGGATTTGGGCTAGCAGCTAGCAAGTACAGCACCTCGTGCAATACATGAGTTTCCGACCAAGAAGCAGCAAACTGGAATCGCCGCCACAAAGCATGAAGGTGGCTATTATCACTATCAGCTGTGGGAACGGCATTCCGCGCATGCACGCTGCTGAAGATGCCAAGTGTTAAGACTGTTCCGTTGCCACACTGATGTCGGCCGGTTGTCGCCACATGGCGCCACCAAATAGATTCTCGCGTATCTTCGAAGCCATGTCGAAAGCTCGTAACACTCTATGCATGCTTCCACACCGGACAGACCATAGTCCTGAAGTTTCTCTGCCCGTTGTTTGATGGCACTGGCGGCGGATTGCTGCATCCTCAAGTGGAGCAGTTGCTTTCAGGTGAGTTTAGCGTGTTCGTGATCTTGCGAACTGTGTCTAGATTGATCCTGCAGACCATGAGAGTCATGCACTTTGCACCGAGTGTAACATACTGTTGCTCGTGACGTTTGTGAATCGGGTCGTCAAGGCACTGTCAGGGCTTCACGGTTTGAAAAGCTCGCTTCTACTTTATGGATCTTTACGGAGCATCTTCTCAGTCGCAGAAACCTGTTTATCTCTCGGTTAGTGTTGAAAGAACCAGCGGAACATGAAGAGCCGCGGCGCTCATTGATCTCACCACTCATCTGCTTCTCCTCAGCAAGTTACACTCTTCGGGACAATATGTGACACCAGCATTCCTTACCATGTGTGTACAACATGCCGCACATCCAGCGCTCCATTTCCGCAAGGCCATCACTGGACAGCAGCATTCCTGCACTCATTCGTGTTCCCGTTCTGTGAGTGATCTGCTCAAAAGACAAGCAAGTTCCGTTTGCTGGCACTATGGGCTTTGCTTGCGTCGCACTGCATGGCAACTACTTACTGACTTACTCCTAGTTTCTGCAGAAGATTGTACACGGGCTTTTGCTCAGTCTTCCGCTCTTCGGAGCAGAACTTAGCAGCTAACATTCACGCAGCATGTCCGGCTCCTGCCATTGACTCGCCTCGCATGCTTTCCATGCGGACATACGAGCCCGGATCCGCGGCAAGTGCTAGCGACACCACCGCCTAAGCGCAAGCGTGGCTGGTGATAGAATTTTGCAACCATGCAAAGGTGACAATCAATGAAAAGGCAGCACATCGCTCCAGGCTGGGCTCAGAATGCCTTCTCTAAGTACATCCCTGAAAATATGCTTGGTCCGCGTTGGATGGACAATCTTGTAGCACCACTTTTGCACACAGCCATCTGCACACATGATAAGTTCTTTAATTTTCTTTACATGCTCCTTCGTTTCTTGAAGCTGCCACTTTAAGGGCTTCTGTCGTTGTCCATGCGATTTAGTGATCGTGACGATGACCCGACACCCAGATTCGGGATCACGACCAACGCCGACACCGCCACACCACCGCCACCGCCACACCAACTCCCCCCCTGCCTCACCCCCCGCCACCACTACCACGACACGATTGACACTACCACCACACGATTGAAAGGATTCTCGGCGTTTTCTTTCTTGCCTGCATTTTCTTGTCTTCTGTCTTAGGCAGCCTCGTGAACTCTGGACGCTGGCAGCATGCCGGGAGTGTTGAGGCATGTCTCAATTCTTTCGCGCTAACTGGCCGCTGCCCAAATTGGGATTCAAGGACGCGCTGTAGTAGGTGAGTCCGCCGTCATTTCGCCTGATGACATTCTGAAATTTCCGTCGTGGGATTTGTTAGTCGTGAGTGAGAATGATAAACCTGAGACAAATACAAATTTATATCGATCTATATATATATATATATGTATGTATGTATATATGGTGTAGGGTCTCGGATCGAGGCTGGGCAAGGGCTCAGCTATTGCCGGCAGACCCCAGCGCCGAAGGATAGGCACGCCAGTGGAGCCATCGCTCTTTCAGCGGCATCCCAAATCGCCAGCTTGGCGTGCGTGTCCTGCGGCTTCTTGTCGTCCTTGGCCTTGCCCTTGTTCCGCCCTTTGGGAGGCCTCGAGTCCGTCGAGGCTTCGTAGCCATAGTAGGAGTAATACTCGTCCCATTCCTTGGCTGACCAGTGTCCTCGCTTTCCCTATGTCGGAGGGGCGGCGCACCATCTCCTGGATGGCTACAGCAGTCTGGTCAAAGTCGTCCCGCGTGGACAGGCGGTGGAGTGGGTCAACGGTCTCGAGGACCGAACTCGAGACCCTCTACTTTGGGATCCGGATGACAGACACCCAAACACATTTCAGGGACGCTACATCGAGCTCCAAACTCATTCCCCCTGCCTATCTCGAGGGGGGCGGGGGGGGGGGTCGGAATAGGAAAAGTTTCCTATTAGGTTTCTGCCTGGGACGGGGGGGGCCCCCCCCCCCCGTCTAATAGGAGGATTTGGGAAGAGGCTCGTTATTCAATATAATTATACGGGGTTGATGCATTAAGGTGTAGGACTCTGCAAACACATGCGCAGAAAGCTGCCGACTGAACTGCATGTGCACACAAGGCTCCAAGTGCGAACGGAATCTGTCCTTTTTGCGTCGCACGCATGCTTTGCGTACGGTTCGTGTGAAACACGCACACTGCCGAGCAAGGTTCAGGAGGCATAGATTACTTTTGAGTGTCTGCCCAGCCTAGCCCGGAAACGGCCTATGGCAAAATGCCCGGTTGCTTTGAGCATGCTTTGGAACTGCAGGTTCGGAACAGCACTTTAGATCACCTTAGCCCGGCAGCTCGAACGCCGCACTAGTGGCGCTCACAACTTTCTGCAGGAAGTCCTGGCGGGGTCGTTGCTTCAGGTGTAAGGTGAGGGCTATGCATGCTAATATGCGGGGCTTGATTCGGAAATTATTTTTTTTGGAGCTTCGGTCCTTGACAGGCTTGGTCGACAAGGAGCCATCTTTGCCTGGGTTTGGAGGAAGGTTTCGTTGCATTCGGACCGTGTGTTTGAGGTTCAGGGCTTAGTTAAGGCTGGGAGGATAAGGTCTACAACTTATGAGGCCGAGATTCTGCGCTTCGGCAGCAGGGACTGCAGGAAGCTGTGCACCCTCTGGCTGAACGTCCAGCCTCGTGAATTTTCAAACTCCTTCTCGAGGAATGTAGCCGATCGGCTCGCGAGATCTTTGAAACTCAGCTGCTGCTCGCCCAACTGCACGGAATCGTTGGCATCCACGAAAGGCTGCTGCTCCTGGGCGTAGGCCCGTGCCAGAGCCGGCCAGAAACGGTCTAGGGACTTGCGCAGTGTCGTCTTCGTGAAGCTGCGGTCGGTGAACTGCAGGCCTTCGCTCAATGACGAGGATGGCTCGGCATGCTCTGCGGCACCGTCCTCCGCAGGATCAGCAGCTGATGCAGCTGCCAGCTTGGGCAGCTTTGATTTGCGGAGGATCTCGATGCCCTGGAGCGCCGCCTCAGACAACTGCACGGTGAAGCCATGCTTAGTCTCCTTCTGCATCACGAGCTCTGGCTCCGCGAGGACGACACCAGTGGGATCAAACACCCATGCATTGCTGAGGCCAGTGACTGTGAAGGTGCCCTGAGTGTCGTCATTGGTAGCACGGAGCTCTGCAGCGTGCACCACACGAGATGCATTCGTTGGCAGATCGCCGTTGAACGCCCTGCCCGCTCTGACCTGGACCGGTCCTTGCCCTTGCTTTCGGTTCACAGAGCCACGGAACACGGTCAATGTCACGCCCAGGAGGATCTTGGAAGAGGCCCCGAGCTGGGAGCCACACAGAACGAGGACCTGCCAGGTTCTCCCACTCACAGGTGGACGGAAAGATGTCACTGGAACCAGACCGTCTTTGGACGAGCTCTTCGGGACTGGGAGCTTCTCCTTGAGGAACTCAGCAGCTGTCTTGGCCCACGCCTCAGCACGGCTGACCCTGGTGTGAGACAGGGAAGCAATGCGGCGTGCCAGGGCGAGCTCATGCTCCACAACATTCCACTTTTGGCCTTGAGACTTTCGCTCCAGAAGGGCTTCCGACAGTTTGCCCTCTTCTAATCTCACCCACCTCGTGTAGCGCCGGATGGGCCCGACCAAACAGAGTGCCCGCTTCAGGCATCCCTCCTCACCTGCACCGCTGATTTCATTCAGCTCGAAAGCAGCCGGGTCCTTGACAATGGCCTGGTTCACGACATCGGCGAGCGTCTTCGGCTGAAGCTCCTCGGGATGGTCAGGTGGCTCATCCGGCAAGAGGCCATCAGGAAAGGCGGACGGTGCGAAGTCGGCCGCTGCATCGCCGCTGGAGGTAGCCTGTTCATGCTGCTCCTGCTCCGGATCATCAAGTTGGAGAAGAGCATCCAGTGTGGCCTCGGTCTCCTCTGCTTGCACAGCTCGGGCCTGCAGCAGCTCCACTGTGGCAAGGGGCTCGTCCAGAACCGTGGTATCCACGCCAGCGAGGAGTGCAAGGTCCGTGACCTCATCCACTTTCTGCTCCAGCAAGTGCTCCAAGCTGTCCTCTGCGTCGCCGGTGCCTGCAAGGTCCTCGGTCCTGGCCTGCAGCACGGCAAGTCCTCGAACGCGAAACCAGCTTCTGAAGTGGTCGTAGATGTCCTCGGCGGTCACGTCCACTGAAATCATCGCTTGGAATTTGCAGCAGCATGCCAGGGCTTCCTTGGAGATCTGGGTGAGCTGCTCCGGGGTCACAGGCGTCCGGTCCTGAACAGTGGCATTACTGTTGAAGTCGTGGCCTTCGGGCAGTCTGCGAAGCTCGAGTAGTTGTTTCATTGCATCCAAAGAGATGCCAGCGATGCAGTCGCGGATCCCTGGCGACCCTCGGAAGCTAGACTTCACCCGCGAAAAATGGACTTCGATGGGCAACTCTTGAAGGTCGCGGTGTTCCCACGGCATCTGGCACTGGTTCACACTGTGGGCCGCCAGATGGGCTAAATTTCGGACTGTCACCTTGCTGAGGCAGTACTTGTCGGTCTGCTGCGGGTGCTTTGTCGAGGCACGGCACAGATGAAGCATCACCACATAATAGAGGCAGAAGGAGGAGTGTGCCAGTTCGGACTTCGTCAAGCCCCGGGAAGCGGTGGTGATCGCAGCGACCAAGCCTCCCACCAGCTGATGCAGGTGAGTGCCAACGGCATCCCACGCCCGTGGTGTGAAGCACGGGGCTAGGCGGGAGCTCGCGGCACTGTCGCTTTGTACATCCTTGCAGCAGAAGGCTGCTGTCCCCAAATCCTGCCGACAGCAGGGCGACAAAGTCACCCAGAAGGCGCCCCAGCTCACAAGGCGGCACCCACTGACATGTGCAAGGCTGAAACGTTTCTGCACATGCCAGCCTCCGCACGAGCCTGCCAGCTGAAAGCTTTTCCCGGTCGAGGGCTGAGTCCAGAACAGAGCACCGAACGGCCAAGCATACGGACCTGTCAGAGGCTTCCTCTCACAAGTACTCCAGAAAGGAAGCTTCGTGAGGTCGGCCGGGTCGCATAAACCAACCAAGCAGCGGCTCGTCTCCATGTTGCGAGTGCCGCAATCTGAGGAGACTCCGATTGGAGGCACCAAAGATCGCGAGGTAGCTGCCTGCATCACACGGCCGGTGAGCTCCAGCAAGTCGCGGCCACTGCTGGTTTGCTTGCCCGGGATGCACAGGAGGTCAAAGACGAAGCGGCTGCAATCGGGCCGTTTCATGACGTAGTGCTGGGTAGTGTTGGCGAGGAAGGCTTGCGGCATGTTCCGAATCTGGGGCACCTCATTGCTGTCGGTCACCTGGACGTAGGAGAAGTCCTGGTCACTGTCCTGGTGCCAGATGCCACCGACGATGGCTGTTTCGCCATCCTTGCTGATCTGTGACCAGGAAGGGGACCAAACAGTCTCGTCCATGATCAGCATGGGGCGGATCTCGGTGTCGCCTTCCAAGCGAAGCAGCCTCAAGGTTTTCTCAGCAGCTGTCCGGAGCAGCTCATCTGTCCTGTGACTACAGAAACTCTCTGGCACTGCCTCCTGGATCACTGGCTTCTTGGGGACCGCCCTTGCATTGAGTCCGAAACGCTGCATCAACTCCTGGATCTCCGAGGTGCGGCCTAAAGTAGACAAAGCATCGGCCACGTGCGCCTCTCGGATATGCTTGGAGGAGGTCTTTCGGCGCTTGTTGGAGCAGAGTTGCTGAAACTCGAGAAGAAAGGTGGCTGTAAGGGCTTCCACCACACTGTCTCCTCGCAGTCCACCCGTCGCTACGAGGCTTGCGAGGTGAACGTCCTTCTCACGGCACGTCCCCGAGGTGATGGCGTCTGCCAAGGTCGCCGCGAGAGCTGTCTCGGCGTCCTTCTGCATACGCTTGCCACTCTTGGTGACAGGCACAGTCACCCTGAACCGCTCGATGAGGTGCCTCATGCTCGTAGATCGCCGGCTCTGGGCCACAGACTCCATGCCTCGTTTGGTGGCACACAGCAGCTTCTGAAAAGAGTCATCTCCCTCCAGCAAACCTTCCAGACCAGTACCCTCTAGTTTGAGGGCGATGTAATCCCGAGAGCGCATGACTTGGGCCATCTCCTCCGCCTCCTTACGTGGTCGGTTTTTCATCTTCCACGTGAGGAGAAGCAAGTCCACCCAGTAGGAGAGTTTGCACAAGTGTTTGCGCAGCGACAGCAGTTGGCATCTTTTGAGGCACTCGTCACAGTACCCACGCTCTGTCTCCTTGGGAGACATCTCCTTTCGCACGCACTGCGTGGAAGATACTAGGATGCCTAGCCGTGGATGGTATTCGAAGACAAGACCTTGTAGTGGATCCGCCTCCTGCTCGGAATAGACGATCCGCGGTTGCCCCGCCTGGTCACCGACCCCCGACTCTGAACCCGGGAACCCTAAACCTCCAAGCCCTGACCCTTTAGGCTGCCCCCGATCCTCGACGAAGTTGATGATGCTCTGGCTGTAGGCGTGCAACGGCGACCCGGGATCCTGCACAAGTTGACAGTGGAGGCGGGGGTGCATGCATAGCGGAAGCCTTATGCGAAGAAGGGTCCTGCACGGCAATGCCTCGGCACCCGCTCTGGTCGGACTCAACAATCTCGTCGGCAGCGGGCAGGGGCATCAGAGCACGATCTCGCTCCTCCTGCTCGCATCGCAGCCTTCGCAGCCCTCGCTCGTGCTTCTTAGCCTTCTCGTGCACGAGCAGCTTCGAGTTGTTCGCTGCAGTCCAGAAGCGGACCTTCTCTTGGCAGGCCGTGCACCAGTATTCCACTTGGGGACTGTAGCTCGCATCCGTAACTCGGTAGAGGCCAGGCCTTTCGCTACGGATAAACTCATGCAGCCACCTTCGCCCAGCTTCGTCGGCTTTGCGCTTCCTGCCCTTCTTGCTTGTCCTGCTAAGGCCAGGCTTGTCAGCTTCCTCCGCCGGGACCAAGCTCGAGAGGGCCTGCTCCTCCGCATCCTCCAGGGCCTGCGAGACCTTGGCCTGCAGCTCGAGGCAGGCCTCACAGGAGATGATTCGGTCGTCCGCGATAGACTTCTGAAAAGTTTGCCAGTGGCCCTTCGCGGTGTTCTTGCCAGGAAAATGCCTTCGGTGCACCGACTGAAACATGCTGTGGTCCACCCCAATGTTCTCCAGGATCTCCAAGCCTTTCTGCTGCAGCTCCGCTTCCGTCTGTTTTGCTTTCGCCTCTGGGGCCTGCTTCCTCCGGGATGCCTTCGCTTTTGGAGCTTTGCTCAGCCTCCGCACTCGCATGCGAGGTGTGCTTCGGCTGGATGGCGAGGCGTGCAGCACCAGAGACTGCCTCTTTGGCGTTGTGGGTGGTTTCTCGGATGCAGAGGCGGATGCAGAACCCTGAGCCCCCGATGCTGCAGCTGCCTCGGTCTTGCGATGAGGTGCCGATGCGGCAGACCCCTCGGGCTTCGCCGCAACAGCACTTGGATCCATCCAGGCTCGCAGGTCCCGGCACATGGCGGACATGGTCGAATCTGAGGCGGCCAGTCGCCACCCTCAAGCTCGATAATGGCCTTTGCAGACATGAGGACTCGGAAACCACACGACCAACTGTCAGGTTGAAGAGGGACATTGTACTTCCTGAGCGACAGCTCCTGCCTCCAACTTGTCTCCTGAGCATGCAGCAGGAAAGCGGCTGCGAGCTGCTCGACTTCTGCAGAGGGCCGGCTATCCAGGAGCAACCAGGTGCTCTTGCCATGCATGCCCGCCAACAAGGCCCAGTGCTCCTTGTTCTGGAGAATCGCGAACACGAGACCAGCAGAGCTTAAAGCCAGCAGGCGGGAGCTCTCTGCACTTGTTGCCATGAGAGGCAGGCAGTGAGTAGGCCAGGACACTCCCCACCTATGCCTGCTGATTTCGGCGATGCCGTGCAACAAAGTGCCGTAATGCAGAAGATGGCCCATGACAGGTGGGTCGCGTGGATGGCTTGCTAGGAAGGCCTTTTCCAGTGCCTCTGCATCCATATTATGCCGATGCACCCCAGGCGCATGGGCTGTGGTCTCCTGCTTGACCTCTCCGGCTTCTCCAGTGCTGCGCCGTGCATGCGACGGCCGAGGTGGACTGAACTGCACCTCTCTCTTGGCATTGCGAGGAGGCGTGGATAGGCCCTCCTTGTCATCCTTGATGCTTGGAGCACTGGCAATGTCCGCATCGGGAAAGCTTGGAAAAGCAGACATGAGTTGCTGCCACAGCTCTGCTGCTGCCTTGCTCAAGCCTGAAGGACTACGTGTCTCAGTGCTTCGGAGCACCATGTCTGAACCATACAAGCTTGCAGCGGCTTCCCAGGTCGGGTCTGCTTGAATTGCCCGGAGTCTAGAGAGTATCTCCTGTGTGTCTTCACAGGCCATGCGCCGCTTCACCGACATGTCTGCATCTTCCCATGCAACCGCATGAGCAGCCTGTTGGTATCTATGCAATGCACAGAACTCGTTCAGGGAACCAAAGGCGATGTCTCGGCGATGCTTCTCCGAAAGACACCAGAGCATCTCGTCCCATACCGTCTCGGATGCATCCCTCCTTAGAGAACTAGACTTCAGACGAGCCTAGCCAATGACCTTGTACTGTGATATGTTCGGAGAATGTGTAGATCTAGCACAGTCCAGCGACACTCGACGCCGAAGCCGGGAGCGCAACAACTTGGAGCACAAGTCCTCGGCCACGTCTCGCAGCACCTCCCACGGCCGCCGCACCATGCTGTGCTCCAGCAGATCGAGCACCTGCCGGAAAGCGGCGGCAGTGGCAGTAGCAGTAGCAGTGGCACTAGCAGTAGTCGTTGTCGTCGTCGTCGTAGCAGTAGTAGTGGTGGTAGTAGTACTAGTAGTAGTAGTCGTAGTAATAGTAGTAGTAGTAGTAGTAGTAGGAGTAGTAGTAGTAGTACTGGCAGTAATAGCAGGCATAGGGGCAGGGGGGGGGGTCGTGAAGCAAACCCCGGCATGGGCGAGGGATCCATGACGACCCTCCCCTAGGTTTATCCTATTTCCTGGCTTCATGGTAGTGCTGGGGCTACGGTAAGTACTAGTAGTAGTAGTAGTAGTAGTAGTAGTAGTAGTAGTAGTAGTAGTAGTAGTAGTAGTAGTAGTAGTACTAGTAGTAGTAGTAGTAGTAGTAGTAGTAGTAGTAGTACCAGGAATAGGGGCAGGGGGGGGGGGGTCGTTAAGCAAACCCCGGCATGGGCGAGGGATCCATGACAACCCCCCGGGAGGTTTATCCTATTTCCTGGCTTCGTGGTAGTGCTGGGGCTACGGTAAGTACTAGTACTAGTAGTAGTCGTAGTAGTAGTAGTAGTAGTAGTAGTAGTAGTAGTAGTAGTACTAGTAGTAGTAGTAGTAGTAGTAGTAGCAGGAATAGGGGCAGGGGGGGGGGGGGGTCGTTAAGCAAACCCCGGCATGGGCGAGGGATCCATGACGACCCCCCGGGAGGTTTATCCTATTTCCTGGCTTCGTGGTAGTGCTGGGGCTACGGTAAGTACTAGTAGTAGTAGTAGTAGTAGTAGTAGTAGTAGTAGTAGTAGTAGCAGGAATAGGGGCAGGGGGGGGGGGTCGGTAAGCAAACCCCGGCATGGGCGAGGGATCCATGACGACCCCCCGGGAGGTTTATCCTATTTCCTGGCTTCGTGGTAGTGCTGGGGCTACGGTAAGTACTAGTACTAGTAGTAGTCGTAGTAGTAGTAGTAGTAGTAGTAGTAGTAGTAGTAGTAGTAGTAGTAGTAGTAGTAGTAGTAGTAGTAGTAGTAGTAGCAGGAATAGGGGCAGGGGGGGGGGGGTGTCGTTAAGCAAACCCCGGCATGGGCGAGGGATCCATGACGACCCCCCGGGAGGTTTATCCTATTTCCTGGCTTCGTGGTAGTGCTGGGGCTACGGTAAGTACTAGTAGTAGTAGTAGTAGTAGTAGTAGTAGTAGTAGTAGTAGTAGTAGTAGCAGCAGCAGGAACACGGTACAAAGAAGAATTTGCTGCACACTGGCAAGGACATGTACACTCTGCACCAACAGATCGGGATGGACCTGTTCGCCACCATAAGTGTCTGAAGCTGCAGCAGGTTCAACACGTGGAGCGGATGGGACCTGCATCGAACCCAGCGGCACACAGATCCTACCAGCCGGATCCATGACCGTACCGCTTAGGAAGGACACCACGAGACTGGCAACAGGTGAAGATAACATCGGATACTTTCCATGAACTTCGCTCATGTCTGTGGCTGCAGTGACACAAAACACCTCCGTGAATCACCACGACAGGAAACGGGCACTGCAAAACCTCGCCCTCAGTCTTTGACTTTGGGCAGATGATGACATGACTAAAGCTTTCGCCTTTTCGGAGTCCCTGGCTCAGATGGCTCGTGTAGAACACTCTCCATGGCCGACCAGTCCAAGTTGGATGCCATCCTGGCATGCAAGAGCCGAGTAGCTTCCTCCCCTGCCGTCCTTATCTCCCGAGCCATGATCTCCTTGGTCTCCGGAGAACAAGCGAAAGTGCTGACATCCGATGCCGTCGATGGAGAAGACATCTGCTTGCTGCGCCCGTCCTTGCATGCCTTCGGCGGGGTGTCAATGACAACGATCTCAACTTCGTCGGCCTCAACGACCACGTCATTGCCGTGGTCGCGGATGTCTGGGCAAAGCGGAGCACGTCCCTTGGCCTGCTGCGGGGATGGTTTCGACAGCTCTGAGGATCGCTTGGACTTCGCCGTCGGCGAGGGCGTCCGCACTAGCACCACACGCCCTGTCTTGGGGGACGGAGACGCAGGCATGGCTGACCAGTCAAGATACGAAGCCTGAGCGGCTCTAGCACGTCGCGACTCTTCCTCCGCCGCCTGCTGGATCTCCCGAGCCATGATCTCCTTCGTCTCCGGCGAGATCGACATAGGGCCAGAGACCTCCGAAGCGGTGGACGGCGAAGCGGTCTGCTCGCCTTTGCTTGCCCTGGGTGGCGTGATCTCCACAGCAGCTGCCCCTGACATGACCACTGCTTGCCGTCTAGTCACCTAGGCTGGAGCTCGAGACAAAAAGGCAGGCTTCGGAAGCCCAAGCAGCAGCAAGGCATGCAGTACCATTGTTTGAAGCAGCAGTAGCTCCACCCTCGCCTTCTCCAAGTTGTCAGCCACCACTGCGAAGTTGGCAGGAGGGGCACCCTGAGAAATGTCAACATAGGCTACAGTGTGAACATAAGACTAGGCCAGCAAACTTCGAGACCAAGCATGAGAGACAGCAACAGAAGCCCACGCCTTGTCCTCGATCATCGCATCCACAGCCACCGGCAGTGGATGCTCCAGCGCCTCATCGGGCAAGCTGGCCAGGACTGGACCCATAAGTACATCACAGGCCTCCATGGGAATGGTCTGCACCGCCGCAATGTCAGCAGCCGGAACAGCAACCTAGGCAGTAGAGGATGCCACTAGCCCAAGGCCCAAGTGAGGTCGCACACGCTGGCACTGCAAGGTCAAGGCCGAGAAAGGGGTTCAAGGCCCGGACAGCGGGAATCGGATGTGGGTCGTCAGATGACACCTGTGCCAAGATGCCAGAGAAGTACCAGTCCAAAGAGACGAATGCAAGGCAGCGGCCATGTCTCTGTCATGTGGATGTTCATCAGGGACCTGAAGCAGGAGAGAACGTTCAGGCCACGGTACAGCGAGAGCCAGAGGGGATGCAGGGGAGCACGCCATGGCCTTGTCCTCGGTCGAGGGATCGCCAACCTGGATCCGCAAGGTTGAAGGCAGCAGCATACCCCAAGGCTGCAATCGCATGTATCCGAGGTCTGTGCAGTCAATGCCGCCAACGACGAGGGCTCCTAGCAGACAGTACCGACAAGGGAAAGCAGCCAGACCGAACCCAACTCGGAATGCACAGCCTTGCAAGGATCAGGAGCATCAGCATCGGCCTGCTCAAGGTTCGCAATGGTAATCACAGCAAGAGTTCAGTCAGGGGGGGCCCGCGAGGCAAAGGAAGAACCAGCTCAGGCCAACCCCGAAGCCAGGGCAACGACCGTGGCAGATGCAGTGGTAGGTTCCTGGGCCTGAAGCAGAAGAGGGTCTAAGAGCAAGACTAGAGCAGCAACGTACCAAGTCCAAGGTATCCAAGCTCCAGGCCACAGACGTCGGTGCAGGATGTGTGGAGACCTGATCAGAGCAACTGTAGGGAGAGAAGGAGGTAGGGAGACCCATCGAGAAAGCAGCAAAGGCAAGCACTCCCATCACCAAAGAATGCAGTCGCAACGGCTCGAGTAACCCCGAAACCCGAAACCGAACGAAAATACAGGGTTGGGCGACCTCCGCCAAGCATGCCATCGCACTCGCAGGAACCTAAGGCAGGGCAAGGAGCAGGGAAGAGTCGCGCCAACCATCAAGAGGCATCCTACCCGCAAACAACACAAAGCCGGCAACCCCCAACCTCGACAGGCACGGGTTCCGAGATCCCGGCCAAAGCATCTCGTTCCATGTCACCGATGACCTGCACAGGTTAAGGATGATTATGAATGCAGAGAGGGCTGAGGTTTGGTCGGGAGACTAGGGGGAGCCTGGAGTAGGGCGGGCTTTGGGCTCTGGGGTTCCAGTTTCTGGGTTTGGGCTTCGGGGTTTGGGGTTTGGGTTTTGAGGTTTGGGTTTCGGGCTTTGGGGTTTGAGGTTTGGGTCTAGGGGTTTGGGTGTTCGGGTTTCTCCCTCCTATAGGTTTGGGCTGGCTTGCAACGGGGGCTGCCTGGGTTTCGGTTCGGGTACCCTGAATTCCTTAAGGAGGGGTTGCTAGCAGGGAAACCAAAAGGAAGGGCAGGAGGCCAAGAACCCAAACCCCGAGCACCCTGAACCCGAAGCCCAAACCCCGCTCAAACGACCCAACCAAAGCCCACAACACACACACATACAAGCAATGGGTTCGGGAGAGGAAGACGGAAGCCCAGACCACCCCCCCCCCACCCCGTATGCCTTTTTGTCAAAAACCCAACCAAAGACGAAACAAGCTGCCGGCCGTGTGTGCATCGATATGCCCAAACTCCCGGCCTATGCCTAGGTTGATGGGGCTGCGATCCCGAGTCTAGACCAATCCCCCATGCACACACGGCGTATGCGGTGAACCGCGGTGAACCACACCCCTCGTTTGCGCTGCAACGGCCTCTGCTGTGCTGCTGTGTGCTGTGCTGTGTGGCTGTGTCTGTTGCTGTGTGTTGCTGTGTGTGTGTGTGTGTGTGTGTGTGTGTGTGTGTGTGTGTCTGTCTCTCGGCCCTACGCATCTACTCAGTGCTCATGTCCTCCGTCGCCCTTCTCGTCATCATCGGAACTGTCATATCCGGCTGGTCCTGCACAGAACTACTGGCACCACCGTGGCCAGTCTTTGTCTTGCCCTTGCCTTTGCCTTCCTGCAGCACATCCTCATCATCGGAACTGTGAACCGGAGGGATCCACGGCTCTGGGATGCCAAAGAAGAACCGGTTGTGCTGGTCCAGCATCCTGGCATGCAACTCCTGGTCATCGTCCTTCTCCTTGTCATCGTTCTTCCGAACGTAGTCCTCTGGCTTCTCACCTGCCGGCAGCCCGTAGTTCAAGGACTCACTCATGCTAAAGACCACGCCATTGGTCATCCGCATGTTGGCCTCCAAAGCTGACAGCCTGTTGAGCACATCCTGCTTCCAGCCCTTCCTGACCTTCGTGGCCGTCCGCATGGCAAACTTGCCCTTCTTGCCGCCGCCTTTCCCCATAGAAAAATGGCTGGATCTTCGCCCCAACACTAGCCAGGTAAGTGCTGGATCTCCGCCCCAGCACTAGCCAGGTAAGTCCCCAACCAGCTGGATCTCCGCCAGCACTAGCCAGGTAAGCCCCCGAGCCAGCAAGCCAGACCAGAAAGTCCCCAGGTCACACTCCAGGTAAAGCAAAAGCCCAGCCAGGTGATGCCAGGAGTAGGAGTCCAGTCGATCAAAGGCCCATCCAAAGCCCCAGAATGCCCTAACCCTGAGGGAAGGCTCCGAATGTGTCGAGCTGATGTTTCTAAGACCTAAAGGATTGATAGGCAATCGTACTGATAATCGAATCAAGCAAGCTTGGTCCACATGCGCTTCCGGTTCTCATCCAATGCACTTACAACGGCATGTGATCCTGCAGCACTTCAGCACATGCCGGCACAGCACTCCCAAGCACACTCATTCACCGGATCACCGAAACCCACGACAATCCCGAAAGAGTTGCACCTCGGAGGCAGGACCATCAAGAGCTGCCGGCGTCGACGTCGAATCCTGGCACACCAAAGCAGACAAAGGCAGGAACAGAGCCCACTCGGCAACCAAAGGGCCCGCCTGATCCCAATGCACAACTGTCGCAGCCTAAACACCACCAACCCCCCAAACCCCCAAAACCGCTCACAACACTTCAGAGGTCTCAAACGGCTTAGGTGACGACCCCGAAACCCCATCCAAACCCCGTCGCCTCGCTCTGCTTCTCAGCTGCAGGAGGGTCCATGGCCTGGGAGAAAGGCAGAGACTTCGCACGGTTATCCAGGTCAGGTCCACATGTGATGCCCGAAGCTCGATCAATCCACCGCAACCACGGCCCAGAACCCACAATCCCCGAACCGTCAAAGGGGCGCACCGTGATGGCAGGAGCCACAGCAGCCGATGCCAGCCCAGATGTGGACCCCTGGCACTGCTGCACCATGCACACCGACACTCAACTGATCCTGCACTGCACTAGTCCCCACGACACCTCAGAGCCCTAGCCCGAAACTCTGAAACCCACTCCCGGCGCACCTGTGGCTCATCATGCTTCTCAGCTCCACGATCCTTGCACGAATGTTCGGGGCTGGGGTGTTTGCGGGCTGAGGTTGGCTGCTTCGACAGACAAAAAAAAACATCGGGTCACAACACACTGGATCCTACTTTGACTTCTCCTAATTGATTGGTCGGTTGCTGCTGCACCATCACGGCATCTCACCGGCCTGCTCTCCCCAAGCCGCAGCAGAGACATCTTCAGAAGGATCCGCGACCTGGGAGCAAGGCAAGGCATGCCACGCCAGACCACGCCATACTAGCAAGGGGTTCGGGAATCTGCATCCATCGCGGCTCTTACTCAAACTGATCAAAGCCCGAACCCGCAAACACAAAACCCCAGACTCCGTGATCTCCGGAACCCCAACCCCTAGCCCCAAATCCTGTATCCCTATGTATGTCTGGCCCAGCCCATACATTCCCGATCTGAGCAGCCAGCAGGAACTGCCTGCAAATCCTGCAATGCCCCAGTCATCCGTTCCTAGCAGAAGCCGGGGCCACGAAGCGAAAGAGACTAGCAGCAACGTTTGGTCGCAGCAGCAGAATCCAAGGCCCCGACAGATGGCGGCAATGATGGACAAGCCTCCTCCTGCAATCCACACAATCAAAGCCGGAGCTGCAAATCAGAGGAGCAAGGCCGGGACAGCCAACACCAGTGCGGCATCGGGTAATGCCTCCGGACACGACAAGATTCCCATGTCAATTTCAGCAGCACACGTCGCACCTGATCTTCAGGAACCGAGCCAGCCATTGCCCAGGCCTGCCCAAGCAACTCCCGAGCGATCAACAGACTACCCCTCCCTGTCGAATCACCGGCCTCGGACACCGCAGTCTGAGCCGGCTCCTGACAGGGACCAAAACAACACCCACCGGCGAAGTATGGCGGAATCACACAAGGCCCGGACGGCTTCCACCACAGATGTCGAAGTCTCCTGAAGTAGAAGCACCCAAACGCCCAGCCCCGAAAATCCCCGAAACATAGCAAGCGGGTCATCATCACGTGCACCACACCAAAGGTATTCCAGATCTGAGCACCCAGCAGGGACGTCAGCACCAGGTTCCACATCCTCACATGGCCACAATAAGCCACAATCATCCACAATCCTGGTTGAACCGGGGTTTGCCTAGAACCGAATCCCAATGCGATGCCTCCAACCAGGTTCCCGGTGCATCTCCAGCACGATGCCTCAAGGCCATCGGCACGGGATCGATGCCATTTTCTGTCGCCCAATTCTCGGCCTGCCAAAAAAAAACGCCGCAACCCAAAGTGGATCCAGGTGCGAAAAGCCCGCCTTCGTCAGGGAATCTAACTTGCTCGAGTGGAGCTCGGCATCGATGTACTGGTAGTAGACTCGGAGAAAACAAATGGGTCAAATGGGTTTCTCGGACACCACTCCCGAATCAGGCCCTGGCAATCTCGCCGCTTCTTCTTCCCGCCGGAAATCTTGCAGAGCGCCCACCATGGCCTGGGAATTTTTTGCCCCGACTATCCTGATATTGATTCAAAACCCGGATGGGCCCACCAAGCCCCAGGCATTCCTGCCCATCAAAGGCACCGCTCGAGGAGCTTTACGAAAGAATGTGCTTCTATGTGCTTGTGTGCTTGTGTGCTTGTGTTGCTTTAGTAAAAAACCCAGTGCCGAAAAGGTGGCTTTCTAAACCCTTCCCCCGTGCCGTCATAATGGCTTAAGGATCTTACTTAATAGTTATAGTACAACCCCGTGCCAAAAATGTGGCTTACCAACCCTTCCCCCTATGCCGTCATAGTGGCTTCAGATCTTAATGAATAACATAGAGTATTTAGTAGCTTCGCGACAATGTGCTGAAGATCCGAAGCCCGTTCCCGTGCTGTGGTTTCGCGAGCTAGAAGCTAGAGACACTGGGAAGCACGTGAATCCATGATAATCCATGCATGAGTGCTGCTACAACTGGCGCCCTCCAGGCTAGCGCCCTCCAAGGCAGCTGGGCCAAATGCCCTCGGTGCCCGGCAACACTGTCTGCGGCTGCACGACATGTTCACATCAGGGATCTTGCCAACATGAAGACAGGAACAAAACCTAGCTCGCATCATATTATTTTCCTATTTCCAGCCCCCCCCCCCCCGTCCCATAATCCAGATAGGAAATAGGATATCCTGGGGGCCCCCGCCCCCCCCCAAGAAACAGGAGATAGGGGGGGGGAATCCAAACTCAGACCTAATGATCGAAGTCGCCTGTCAGGCCCTTCGACCTCGATCCTGCCCAGGTATGGGTCCGGGCGCCAACAAACAGGCCGCTCGGTATGTACAAGGCAGGACACCGTATACATTCTGTTGTCGCTGTCGTCGCCCAGGCGCAGTTCCCCGGACTCCTTCTGTGTCGTCTTCATTGACCTGCGGCCTCTCGGCCGCTGGGTGCTATGGGCCACCGCTGAATGCTGGGGCCTTCATCGCCTGAGGGCCACGTCGTTCTTGTACGAGGAAGGCAACGGCGCGGAAGACATGGGGTCATCAGGGTCGATGATGGAGAGGTCCTTGAAGCCACCCTTGTCCCAACATCCTCGCTATCTAGCTCTTCCTCGCCAGACACCGACCATTGCAGTGGCGATGACAACGAATCGGACGGCGGCAACTCCAACGAACAACGGGGAACCGGACTCTTGCGACCTTTCAGGAGGTAAACCACCACGCGGCCCAGGCGCCTTGCTGACCACCTGCATCCACCTAATTTTTGCCTCGACTGCCACACCATGCCGCTGCCCCACGACCCGACCCTTGGTTTCCTGCTCACGGAACCGTGGCCCTTGGACTGGATCCACTACGATGTCGGGAACCTGCAGCTCAAGGAGGTCACGGCCAAGGCCCTCTCTTCAATGGCAACGTGGACCGAGATCCTCCAAAATCTTGGCCCAAAAAACCTCCCTGCGGTGCACCTCACTGCGATGGATCATGGGTCCGACGCTTGGCGTCGGCGGATCGCCATTGCGAGTTTCCTCTCCCACCGTGACCGATGGGCACCTTTCGGACGACGTGAACATCGCCCTGTTCCAAGAGACCAAGGCGGCGAAAGGTCTTTGTGAGTCTGCTCGGTTTTTGCGACTTTCAACGGCATCCGAACGCCACTGGAGTGGCAATTTGGACAAGTAAGTCCCGAGATGCACTGATCATTGATGAGAAGCCTTGGATAATTAGTCGGGGCCACCGACCTCCGCATCCTGCTTGCTGGCCCTCGCCTCTTGATCGTGCTGCTGTCAAAAGATGGCCTCAAAATCCTCATCATTTCAGGGCACTACCCACGCGACACCAAGTATGAGGAGGCCATCCAGTTTGTCGAGGATCTCAAACGCACGGTGGCCCCACACAAGCAGGCTCACCTCATCCTCGCTGGCTTCGACTTGAATGGCAGACCTCCCACAGGCGTACTGGGCACAACGGGCACCTTCAAGCACGCGGAGACCCTGACCGCATCGGTCACCTCGCGGTGAATGCCTCCGAGTAGCGAACTCCAAACTGGCCAGTCGCAGACCTTGTGCCACCCTCAACGCTCTCTCCACCGAATTGATTTCACGGCGCTTGGAGGATTCGCCGTTGTACGGGACGCCATCAGTGAGGTTTCTACCCCCTTTGACAGCGGATGCGAACGAAATGATCACTGGCCGGTGACCCTGGCGCTTCTTGTTGATCTTGGACCTGTATGCCAGCGAGCACGGGTGTCCAGGCCGCGCTTTGACATCGACAAGCTCATGTCCGATGAAGGCAGGCAAATCATGGCTGCTGAAATCCAGCAGTTCAAACATCCGGCCCGGGAATGCCACCCCGACCTCCATTGCAAACAGATCCAGTCGGCGTCATGAAGAAACACTTCCCGTTGGCCGAACGCCGACCAAGAGCGAGCTTCACCAAACAAAACACTTGGGAGCTGCGTGACTGCAAGCCCGCCTCAAATCCAAGGCCAGGCATCGGCGCGGGCTATGGATGGACCTCCTTCACAGAGCTCTGCTGCAATGGCACAGTGGTGCCGACTATGCTGTCGCTACGCTGATACACAAGCACGGTGTGATTGATGCACCAGGTCCAGCCCATGCGACATGGGCTGGACACTTTGGCGCGCAGGAACTCGGCACCAAGCTCAGCACCCCTGTGACTACTTGAAGCAGCCCCACCGCCCGCCACATCAGGACACCGTCCTCAACTGGGGTTCTAGGGACATTCCCTCTGTGCTGGAGGTGGAGATCGCCTCAGAGCAGCCATGAGCAGCCCCTCGTCGCAAATCTCCCGGACTGGACTGTAAAAATGCGGCGAAATGTTACAGCTCCGGCAGCGGAGCCCGAATGATGTGGCCGCTCTTCGCAAAGGCCGCCACCAACCTTTGCCAGCCAGTGGCGAGGAGGCCTCTTCCAAAGTTCAGGACGTTTTGGACAATGGTTTCCACAGCTTTCACCTCCGGCCGCGACGGAACTTCGCGGGTTTGACTATTGTACGTAGGTTTCGCCTAGCATTTAGCCGTCACACAAGTTTTAGGCTTTGCTTCACGGTCACAGATTAGTAACTCAGCCTTCTATACATCTTCGTTCAATACGCGTCGTTCAGCTTTGCACTTTTACGACTACTTCCATGTTTAAGGGAACGGATAAGATTTCAACTCGCCTTCATGTCATATTTATGTAACATGTGATGTTGATACAAATCTTGCTCGAAACTCCATTACTGCCAACTGCGGGGCTTTTTCACATCTAACAGTGAACAGCACATTCAGATTCCATCACAAGAGAATGTTGAAATGCTGCAGCCATACAGCTGGTTGTTAGCCAGTGTTTGTTCAAGCACTTTAGTTTAAGTTAAGCAGTAGTTCTTCGGTATTTGACTTATGGCTTGTTGGGGTTATGTAAACAGCATTTTAGTCACTAATAACCCTTGGTTTGCAGGTTCGAATCGTTCTGGAGCCCTCAAGAATGAGATACGCCTTGGCTACTACCGAAACTTGAAATAGGACTGAGCTGCTGATCGTTCCCGGTTTGTGTGACTGCAATAAGCTAGCTATTCCACCTTTTCTTGATCAACACATGTTGAACCAATATCAGTTGCATATCAAAACTCAGAATCAATGTGCAGCTATTCTGACAGAGCAAAAACACAAGTATCGTACTTGCCATTTCTTGGTATCTCATACATATGCGCGTCACATAAGCAACCCACGATCAAAATTCAATGACCAGGCCGAACACTGTCAACTATTCAACCAATACTGACCTACTGGTACTATTGACTGTATATTCAATCTAGCACAAACAATAACCATGCAACTACTGCTCGAACACGAGATAACTGATAACAGGTATGTGACAATGTTCTGGTAGCTCTTGCATTCGTGCGTCAAATGCTTGTTCGAGGAATGCTGTCACGGCACATATTTGAGGCTTCGCATGTCTTGTCGAAACACATTCGTGCTCGACGTCCTTACGCACGCTTAGGCCTGCATTTGTCAGGAGAGTACATTGCAGGCTGAATGGTAGGGGCGGATATACAGATATACGTATTATATGTATATGTGCATGTATATATATATATATATATGTATATTTGTAAATCTTATGTATACATACTAATTAATGTATAACTATGTATAAGTTATATGTATGTTATGTCTTCTGTTCGGCTGCGCCGACAGATAAACAAGCAGACCAATACACTCGCAGACGGATATATGCGAATACAAATATACGCATGCACAAATGCGCTGATCTGAACACCCGGCATCCAGCAGATAAACCGTGCTCGTCTGAGTGTAGTTCCAAAGTCCAGCATGCTCAGAGACACCCTGGGCACACGTACCTTCAATGCGACAGAGGCACTGCCAGGCTGGCATATGTTTGGAAGACAACCATCTTGCCCGACTGGGTCCGAGCTTGAACCACACATGGCGGCGGCTTCCACGCACAGTCTCGAATCCAGCAGTACTGTAAGCCCGTACACATGCCGAATCTCTTCCAAAGAGAGTGCGACAAATTGATTTCCCTGGCAAATTCGAGGCTTCGGCTGCCACCAGCGGCTTGAAGCCCCCTGCCAAGTCTGAGCCACATAACTTGACCGGAGGCTTGAGAACATAAGGCAAAGAAACTCTAAGAATCCTTGCTACTGGCAGGATCAATCCGGTTGCATCTCGCGACCCTGTAAAAATCTGTAGCATGTAATTTCTGTGCTCGAGTGATACTTGTACTCACCGAAAGCCAGACACACCTCTGTTCGCGCACAACTCGGCACGAAACACCCTGGCCAAGCACGTGTCTCACCAACTTGCCTTACCGAGTCTTGGCTTAAAGTGAATATTACGGGGCCATACGGGGCCTCAGCCCTAAACCCCCCCGCCCATATGCCCTGATTCCGGCATGGAGGCTCTGCCTGCTTTTAGCCCCGGAAGTACACGCCACGAACGATTGATTTGTCAGGCCTCCAGGCCCTGACACTGCTTGCGGGCCGAAGTTGAGAAACATGCCTCCCACAAGCTCGGGAAGACGACTCCTGCCTCATCGGCCTGTTGGGATTGTGGGTCCATTGCGTGATGCTCGGCCCCAGCCCGGCTATGACAGCTACGCTGAGACCTCACACAAAACTCACGGACAACAGATGCGATTGTGTTTGGCACACATGCTGTGATGAAACCGCAGAATGATGGTTGGCCGATCAGTCCCATTCAAGGTCTTGCTTCAAGCAACTTGTCTGCCAAACCGACTCGGCAGATCTGCATGTTTTTGCAAATCTGCCGGCCGGCGCTTATGTACATTGCAGGTGCTTGGCATCAGCCCGCGAGATAAAAGCATTGCTCGGCTGCGCCGCTCTTCGGCACGGAGCAATGTGTAGTGCAGAACAGCAGCTTGCCCATACACTCAAGACAACTGTCTGATGAAGACCCTGCATGTATGCACTCATCGGCTTCATCTCCTTTCGTAGCTATTCCTGCAAATCGGAGTCGCAATCAGCGACCTGAGGCATGCCGTCCATGCTAGCCGCAGCACACACACACACACACACACACTGATCTTCTTCGTGCCAGTTTCACTGCAGCTGAGCATCCGCTGGCTCGAGGGCCGTTTCGACGCCAATGATCCTTCCGAATTCTACCTGGCGAAACAAAGAAGAGTCCTTACCATCATCTTTCATCAACATGGACGGCATGTCCTGTGCACCATATCGTTTCTTCGAGTTCAACAGTGAAGAGCAGTGAAGGGCTTTGGCTCACAAAACTACTGCGAGCATGAGTATGAAACTACTGCGAGCATGAGTGCGATTCTCAAGAACTGACCTGCAGGCCAACGATCTGTTCTCCAGCATGAACATCCACTCGAACCTCAGAGCTGCGGGTAGATTCATGTCGAATCATCACAGGTCCGTGGCAGCTTTCCGGCAGAATTCAGTGCCGTGGCTTTTCCTCGGGGTCTTGCTCTGCTCGGCAACGGCTCTCTCCTGGTGCAGGGGAGCATCCAAGCGTTCTTCCCCTGTTCCTATTGACCTTGCGGAGTGGAACGGCTGCCTGCGATGGCTTTGGCCCACCACGTAGAGTGTTCGGCTGCTGGCCTCAGGGAAAAAGCAAGCTAAGAGTATCCATGAGTTTAACCTCAAGTTTTGTGTCAACCGTGTCGAAGGGTTCCTCATTGCCTGCGACCGGTATTGGAGATATTCAACTATATTGCTAGGTTTCTTCTCGCCTTTATCATTGCTAGCCCCAGGGTTGCGAGGACTTCGAGTTCGAGATCTAGGTATACATTCGACCTCACGTGCAAGAACGATAAGCCCCCAAGATTAAGCCGGTTGGGCGCGAGTGGAGGTCGGGCGACGTGTGCGCCGCACAAAATTTGCTTCAGGGATAGCAGCTAGCAGCTCTGTTGCTTTCCAGCTGAACTCGAGTTGGCACAACATCCGCAAGGTACTGTGAAGGCGTGTAATGACCCCTGGCCAAGATAACAAACGCAGCACTGAGTTTCGCACGGTGATGAAGAGCAGTTGAGCGCCCAAACTGCCGCTGTTTCCAACAGCTGCCTAGCAGACTTGGAAACGGTAAGTGCCATGCAAAACAGGCTGACCCTCTGAAGTGAAGAAGCGGGAGTCAAACCAGTCAATGCAGGGATTCTGCACGATTGCAGGAAGTCGTCTGGCAACGAGGTCAGATTGAAATGTGCAAAGAATGCAATAAATCGAACAACGCCTTGCAACAGGGCATGTGGAATCCTACTATAGCCACGTAGGATCGGAACGTCTACGCAGTCTGTCGAAACGGGCGAGCCGGAAGATTCTGAGAGATTTAGCATGTTCTAGCGGGTTCTCTCGCTGATTCCAACGTGCAGAAGGGAAGCAAGTGATGACAGCAGTTCCTCTTGCCTGTTCGCCTCCAACCCTCATCCTGAACGCCCGCCTGCTCGACTGCGACAATGTAGTCGGACTTTTGCAGGTCGAAAGCAATTTCTTCTGTTTCACGGCTATTGGTGCCATTGCCACCTGCAAGCTTAATCTTGTCAAGTTTGTGTCAGTGACGGCATCTTCTCCGTTGGCTCAACCCTGTGCCGTCGCACTTGCGCATTCGGTGCTTTTGAACCTCGCAGCACACCCTGCCATGCGAGAGCCGCAAATGCTTTTGCCTCATGTCTTCCACATACCTTGCAGATGTGGCAGGGAGTGTCCTCCTGAAGAGGCATGTCCACCCAAGCCCACGCAACTCGGATCCAGCCTAACTGGGATGCCAGCGAAGACCAAGTGCTGCTAAGCATTTGTGCCTTGGCAAGATTTGCAATGCTTCAGTTGACTGTGCTACAAGTAGCTGCACACATGAAGCTTTGAAGCGAAAAATCAGAAAACTATGCCAGGCACATCCAGGCACGAGATTGGGGGAGTTGGCTTGCCGTGCAGATTCGAAGGGGCTTCGTTCGGGCACCTGCCACACGGCTTCGTCGGTCCGGCAATTCCAGTACCACCAGCCATTCCGCGCCTTCGAGAGCCTCTTAGAATAGCCGAAGTTCATCACCCGAATTCGGTCGATTTCTCCGTCGTCTGCTGGAACTGCACGGACGGCCCATGGATCCTGGACAATGTGTATCGCAGCAGATGCAGAGACAGGATCAAAGAGGAGGAATCACCCTCTGATGCCAGTCAGTCACACAGCTCAAAGAGCTGCGCCTGGAATATCTGGAGGTATCCCAAGCATTCGTAAAGACGCTGAGCAGGAACGTTGTCTGAGCACACCATCAGCAAGACCTGCACTGTGGATCTTGAGGGACAAGCCAATGCACCCAAACTCAGTCTATCCAGGAAGATGCCCGTGGGGGAAAAGGAGTTGGCTGTTTGTGCACGCAGGACGAAATCAGTCAGTGAATAAGCAACTGCCCTTGTTAGAATCGCCTGGCGGGCAGTGCAGACTGTCTCTGTCCTCGTCTGCATGGTTGGATCCTAAGACTTGATTAGTGCACGGAGTCGTGTCTGCGCTTGCCTTTTCCCATTCACGGATCAGAGGTGCCTCTGCAAAGAGCCATCTGAGCATCTGCGGGACAGAGTTCAAGTGGGACTTCTCCGGTGCTGTGTGCTTCTATCAAGCCGCAAGTCCAAACTTTACCGTGTGCTTGTATGCAGTTCGTTTCCCCCCTGATGCCTCCTGAACTCTCAGAACGTCACGCGCCCACTCTTCAGCCTGGCAAAGCTGCGGAGGCTGCGAGGAGCCAAGGGTTTGTGCGCTGCCTTGGGCCTTGAGGATCAGCTGCCGGCCAAGGCCTTGGCGCCTTGCGCTCTGCAAGACCTCTCGGCTATTGCATCTGGCAGGATTCTCGCTGGCAACAGCATCTGGGCAAGCAGCAGACAGGTTTGACATGTAGGCCACTCGTTGCCTCAAGCAAGGCGCAGAAGCAGGACTCACTTGCAACTTTTCTGATGGCCAGCCTTGGGAATCGCCGAAACGAGGCGTCTACGCTCGAAACGCGTGCAGGGGAGGACACGGGAAGCTCCTGCGAAACACCGGCCGCTCTGAACTTGTACGCTGTCACAAGTGAGATCCTCGAATGGCATGACTTCCAGGCCCACACAGCCGACGACTGAGCCTGAACGGATCGGACCCCCCCAGCGCGATAGAATTCTCCAAACACGGTGAGCCCTCCTGCTCTTCGTGCGATGAGCAAGCACGCAGACCCACCAGGTGCGGTGTAGCGCATGGCAAGGTCATCGTAAACCTGATGCGGAGATGCGTAGAGTGTTCTCCACAAACAATGCCACACATCGTCGGACACGAACTCTGCTGGGCCTGTCCCACGATTTTCTGCAGAGGTCGCCCTAGAGGCGGTGGTAGCTTGTTTCTCGAATCTGCATCAAACGTTGCCACGAAGAAGTTGTGAGCGACAACTGCCGCCACATCCTGAAGGCAGTGAAATATCGCTCGCGAATGTGTCAGCATGGAACTATTGACTGTGACAGGGTTCTGGCTCCTCCAAATCCTTCTTGCTCGGTCCATGTCTACCAAGAGGTCCGATTTCAGTCTGACAGAGGCCAGCAAATGGAAGATGCCACGTGCATGCTGCAACTCGAGCAGCTCGGTTATGTGGGCTTAATGACGATTGCACAGCGGATCAGGCTGTCGGCGAGCGAACGTATCAAACGACATCTGCAGACAAGAATCCTGCAAGCTGTTGCAATTGTTTGCACCTGTTTGCTGTGCCCGAGACTTCTGATTCTGGACCTCTGAGAATTTGGCGGAGACCGCGTTGAAGCTTCTCCGAGACGCGTAGGTGCAACGCCTCCTTGACGATTTCCTGAATCACGAACCACAGGGCCATCGCTGACGGAGTAGGCATGACTTCCTCTTCTTTCGAAAGTCTTTGACCATCGTCGAAACTTGAGACGGTTCACCTAGATGCTCAATTGCAATGATTGGTTGTCTCATACTGGTACAGGTTGATGTTTCCTCGTGTGCTTGCGCTGATCACTTTCCGCTCTGCCTGGTTCTGCCGAAAGCGATGAAGTTGAGGCTAAATGCCTTAGGCAGCGACTGGGACTGCACATGCTTACCACAGTCCTGGGTATCGCAGCTAAGGCACGGAGATCGCTCCGGCACGATTTGGCTTCAAAGGGAGCTTGATGCCTGGATCGGATTTGGCCATTGGCCAAGAGCTGGCCGACTGCGGAGTTGCTGCACTCCCCAACACTTGCCAGCTTCGGATGTTGCACCTTTGACACAGCCTCTGCCCTATGCTTTCTCGCGAATTTCCTGAAAACAAACAACATGGTGAAACCAGATGGTACGGTACGCGAACCAATTCCAGGACTGCAGGCCAGAACCCCGCTGTTGCCGAGTGGCACTGGTCTTCCGGAATGACATGTCCTGCAAGCGTCATGAAAATCAAGCGACGGTACAGCTTGCAAGCAGCTTCTGCCATGCCAACTGCAACCCCTCCGCACTCCTCTCACCGTCAAACAGGTCGCAACGGTAGAAGCTGTGTTGCAGAAGGGACGGGTCACCATGGCCCTGCTGTGCCATGTGTGCGGTTTCTATTACTCTGCACAGCCCTGTCTAAATTCACCAAACAGATTGTCGCAGTATCAGTCAACTCATCCACGGTATTTGAGCCGAGAGCAAAGCAAGAAGGAGAATAGTAAAAGAATCGCTGCGCAGGCACTTGGGACAGGAGACGTGCTGGGCAAGGTGTCAGTGGCACCTGGTTCCTTTGGACGAGAGTCTCCAACCAAAGCTCGAGCCTGATACACCTGACACAATGCAGCCATGCCCACGGACTACAGCTCTGCTTAGCAAGACTTGCAGCTTGGCAAAGTCCGCAGCGACATCTTTCTGGAATGCGATTGCTGACGCTCATTGGTCTCACCTGTGCTGGCTCCTCCACTCCCATAACATCGTGCCAACATCGGGTTGAAGTGGTTGATCCGAGTTTCATCATCTACTGCACGCCTCCTTCCAGGATCGCGAGCAGGACAGAGCACGGCCGAAGCTCTGCTAAGCATTTCCGTGGTTCTCGAATCGCCACCACAGTGACCACCTTAATCTGCTCACGTCTGCTCCCGGATGACTTTGGCCTTCCGTTCAGAAACGTCCGATGTAGCTGCGGGAGACGGTTCGGCAGCCTGCGAAGGGGTGCATGGCAACAAACAAAACGCTGGTAGAAGTACAAATAAGTCCTTGGCCTTGCGCTGATTCAATGAGGTTCGGGGCTCTCCTCATCAGAAGCCACGACCCGCAGTAATTTACTCTCGTGCTGCTTCACCAAGCATTTCGAGTTCCAGGCTGCCCCATGCACCCCACCAGCTCCTGACACTAAAGGCACTGCACAGTGCAACATGCAGAACACGAGCAGTCACAAGCCGGAATTCACACGCATTAGACGCATGTGTAAAGCATTTACCTTTCGTGGAAACCGCCCCTGGCCCTGAAGGCATCAGACCGGGGAAACATGAGAGTCAGGATTGTTCTGGTTTCTGGGCAGCTTTGGGACATCTTGCAGTGACACTCACCGAAAACGTATACCCTATAGTTTCGCCTTCCGTCCTGCCAAGGTTGATGGGAGGCCAAAAAGGGGGTTTAAGATTCTTGGGGTAGGGACTCCTTAATATGAACCCTATTATGGGAACCGTCATCCCTACTAGGTCAGTCTCAGGTCACCCCATCGGCGGGTCAGGAGGTCAGGACTCAGGACAGAACGGACAGCGCCAGATTGGCCTTGCAGTTTGGCTCCTTTTGTCGTCCGGCCGACAGGACCGGATGGCCAAACCCGATCCCCTACACAAGCAAAGCGAAGTGGATTTACGTTGAGTGGTATGTGCACGTGGGATCGCATGAATGCAGTCCCAAAATGCAACCCAGGAACCAGAGTCGGAAGAAGCCCCATGCATAATAATGGAAAACAGGGCCTCGAGTCCTGATACACTAGAAGGAGTCGGTCAAATTCGAGGCTGGTGCCAAGTGTGACCATGCAGTTAGTAAATGGGCTGGGAGCCATGAGTTTGAGTTCCGGACATCCCAGGCGCATGTGGTTTTCAGTTGGGGGTCGCTCGTGAGATGGTCATCATTGCTTGTCCAATCTTGTCCAAGCCTAAGCTTCGTTGGCTCAGACGCTTCCTTGTGCTGCTCTGCAGGAGTCGGGCCGAACAGGATCTAGATGCCCAACGTTCCCCGACTCCGTCCCCCTGTCGACTGCCCGGTGGGTCTACACCGTGCGTCATGTGCAACTTTTTCGAATTGAGAAGCTCGCTGAAGAAAGGTATATCAGTATATAAACACTATTTCAGGGTCTACAATATACTAGAATGCAATCCAACATAAGCCCTCTTTCACCTGTCTGCCGTGCTCTCCCAACAACAGATAACAAAGAAGCTGCCGATCTCGTTGTGGAAAAAAGCAGCAGACGTTACGCACACGCGGCCAAAACCTGAAAGGACGAGTGGTATGTGAAGTGGTCGACCTTGCTGATTGGCGAATGACAGCCGACACCGCCGAGGGCAGAAAACTCCACAGATTTTCGGATCCAAGGTGAGTTTCGTTCAACAAAGTGGCGAAGTGGCGACGGATTGTATGAGCTACTCGATGTTGGTTGACTTGAGGAAGACACTTCGTGCGCAGGAAGGTTCTCCAGGTCCGCTCTGTGCTGGAGTCTTGGTCAGCAAACTGTCGGTCATTATGTTAGAAGTATTATGTTTCGCATGCATCTGTTCGGTGTCGTAGGTGGCGCGGCTGCACGTAAAAGGAGGCGCTCTTCAACTTGAACCGCCGCAAGCCACAAAGAAAACATACGAAGACACTGTGTCAGGGCCCCGAAGGCGGGAACATGTCTCTGGAATCCCGAATCATAGCCACTGGAGTCTGTCCACAGACCATGGCGACTTGCCTGCATATCTGCACTACACAGTTTTTGGTGTGCAAATGACCCCATCACCCATCGCCAAGCCCTTGAGAAAACCTCGTATGCACTTTCCAACAAGATCGAACCTCACGGACGGAAGGCAAGGCCAGTCCTCCATCCTCGCCGGTCTCATCTTGCTCTGCGTCGTCGTCCTGCAAAGAAGCCGAAAACAGACTGTACAGGCGATCTGTGGCGACATGGTCCAAGCAGCCAAGGCACAGACCCCCAGGCTGAAGAACTGCTGAACCTGCACTAGCTATACATATCTATGCCTCGACATTATCACATCTCTACTGTCGAATAAAAGCTCAATCAGCGACATACCTGCGTGTGTGACAGCTTACTGCTTCACCCGCCGGTTTACAAGCTTTGCGCAGATTTAGTTTTGAACCCTTCATCGCGCAACCTTGTGCGAATTCAGGCGCGCCCACTTCCCGACCGACTTCTCTTGTCCTTCTTCCCCCCCCACGTCCTTGCCCTTTTCTCCTTTTTCCACCTTCCCGTTCCTGCAGGCCGCCCAGCGCCGCGGGTTTACAGCCCATAGCTACTTTCTGCTCCTGCTTCTGCCAGCCTTCCGAGCCCTGTTCGAGTACAACACATGCTGCCAGTCGCTGTGCTCCTTCTGTGCCTGCTGCTGCTGCTGCTTGCGGTGCGCCGCTGCTGGCACTACTGGAGCCGCCAGCCGAGGCGGGCCGCGTAGCGTTAGAATTACATGGATCAACCAATGTTAACATGTAAATGATCAAAGACAGTACGTAGCTCATCCCAGGCACACGTGCGCACACACACACACATGCCCAGTCTCAGCTGGTTGTCTCGTCATCATTTCTCTTCACGCTTCGAATTGTGCAAACTTCCGACAGGCATAATCTGGGTGTCTTCAGAAGTCTTCCAACAATCATACTCTGGGGTGTACTCCTTGATGCTGCAACATACACTATTTAGAAGATCAAGTGCACAATCAAGCAGATTACGATTTGGCGACATTAGGAACAATCAAACACGACATACAAATTCACCACTATGTCTACACGGCAATGAGTCTTTTGACATCGATGCAGGTACGTCCAGGTGATCAGCCTGGATATCCTCCCACCTCAAGAGTAGCTTCGTTGGCAGTGGACTCTTGAGTTGGCCGCTGCCCCCTTGCATTCTCGTACGTACAAGACTGTCTGCGTGGATAACTTCCTTAGGAACAGGAATTCCACACACACACACACACCTGCCTTCAGACGGCCGGCTGATCGACATGGATTTTCCTGCATGCTAATCTGCTAGTAAATAACTACAACTGAACAGGTTAGCGAAAGGCTTCCACGTTTTGCGCAATGCCGGGACAGCATGTAGCATGTTGGAGCATAGGGTCCAATCCTCTATGTGGATACCAGCTGCATGCGACGTGTCCAGATGCTCCACATTGCAGGTACAGGTCAGAACATCTGTTTCCCCTTCCCAGTCACGCCCGGAGCTTCGTTGCACACAGTAAGACGCAAGTCCTGTGTGCCGCTGCTTTTTGTTCGAGCTATAACCAGATAATGAAGTCTTCATATACGCAAAGATGCATACGTACACAAATATACATAGCTATATCCATACTTATTGACGTCAATGTTGATGTTTTGGTGGTACTGGTATTTATGTATGTCTAGCACTTTATTGAGATTGGCGTATGTGCGTGTATACTTAGCTTTAAATATCCGTTCTTATGTGTACATACACACATGTACGTGTATATATACATACACGCATATATATATATATATGTATATATAACATATCATGTGTACATACACATGTGCATATACATATACAGAGAACACATATACACACACACACACACGTACGCACACGCACATACATCCATCCCATTACATTACATTACCATACATGCACACATGCACACATACATACATACTTACATCTGCATCTACATGTACCTGTACATATACGCACGCATGTACATATATACATAATTACATACATATTACATACATACATACATACATGCATGCATGCATGCATGCACATGCATACATACAGACATACAGACAGACACATTTATACATATACATATAATACATGTGGCAAGGACCTTTATGTACTATTTGACGGGTCTCTCTTTGTATAGTATTGAGTCTAAAATATTCAGCTACGGCTCAGGGTTGAGGTGTCGTAGCTTCTCATTTGCCTAATCCTACTCACTTACTCCCATTCTCATGCTCCTCCTTTCCTGTTTCAGTGATCTTTCATTCTTTATTTCCTGTCCTCCACTCCTCACCCTCTTACGCCCTTACTCCTGCTCTTCTACTCCCACTCTCCCACTACTGCCACTCTCCGACTACTCTCGTACTCGTGGCTTCTTGCTCGTACTCTCCTGCTGCGACTCTTCTGTGCCTTTGCTTTGATTCGTATTCTCCCGACCCCTAGTCTCCTTCCTCTATTGGATTACTCACCTTGCGTCTACTCCCCCTGCTCTCCTATTGCGACCATTCCATTCGTATTCTCTTACTCCTGCTGTCTTCCTGCTACTCTTCTTTTCCCTCCAAGGAGTAGGCATCGAGGTAGGGCAGTAGGAAATACAGTGGTGGGAATCGCGCAAAACTAGGAACAACTAACATGCGTGTAGGAGAGAGTACCAGGAATAGCGGTTAGAAATAGCACAAAGAGAAGGTGCATGGAGGGCAAGGAATCGGAAACTAAATTGAGAGAGTAGGAATGGATATGAGGGAGTGGGAATAAGACAAAGAGAATGAGAGTAGAACGTGTTTGAAATAGGAGGATAGGGGGCGGAGAAAATAGGAGTGAGAATGTGCAGAGTGAGTTTGACAGTAGGAGTCGGAGGACAGGAATATGCGA